GACTAGGTCAAAAGAAGAAATATTTAAGATATAAAGGTCACCAAAGCCATTGAGAATGATAATATTATTCTATAATTATCGTTGTGGGGACACATTGACCTCTTTGCTCTTTCTCCATGTTGGGTGCAAGCTGTTTTCCTTTTCCATTTTACTAAACATTTCTCATTTGTTTTTACTTTTACCAATACAGATATATTTTGATTTTTTATTTTTAGTAACTGAGTTTTCTTCAATAAAAAGCATCGATTTTAACCTATTAATTAAAAATATAAAATAAAACTACCAAAATTCAAAGCTGACTAAGAATAGTTTCACATCTGGTTGATGGGATGGGATGTGATTGAATGGGATGGAGGGAATGAATTATTCAGGAGATTAGAATATATACTATACCAAAAATAAAAGAATGTATATATATATACACAATTATAAATAGATTATAGATGTGAAGAATTATTTTTTTCGCAGCAAATAATATCCTTTTTCATCTTATCTTTCAGGAAAAAAATAATTTATGGCAAGTCATTATATGGTTCACGAGATGCGTATGGTACCATGATATTGATAACATACCTTAAAGAGGAGAAGACCATTAGAAGAGACAAAAAAAAAAAAAGAGGACAGACAACACATTCTCCATAACAAATTAATTATTTAAAATTTATTATAGAAACGAATAACTACAAAGATTTTTTGGTCTCCCATTTTGAAAACCTCCCGATTTTTACATACATCCTTTCTCACTTTTCATCAATTATGTAGCTACATGCCCTACTCCAGATTTTCAAATTTATATCATAAACTCTTACATTCATGGTAATGCATGTGGTCGATTATTATTTTTGTTTCAATTTGGCATGTAAGTTTTGATATATCATCTTAATTTGTTTATTTTAAATCCAATATTTGAGTTATTTCATTAGAGATTCTTTTATTAGATTAACTACTAAAATTTCGGTAATTTTATTGTTTAGTTGTGTGATAAATCACATTGTATCCCTTTCTTCTGCAAATTATAATATGTTATGTATTCGTATATATTAGCAAAGTTTTTTTTTTTTTTTTTAAACTACGATATGGAAGCATAGTTGCTCAAGAACAACAGCAAAAATAAAACAATCATATATTTGTTCATTTTCAATTATATATACAAACATATACCTATTTTCTACAGCCAGTAAACTTGTGATTAAAGACGATATACATATTTAAAAAATAAAGAGCCATGTTTTGCTAACATGCTAATATTTGTGCTTGATTTGATACTCGAATACATATGCATGGGTGTTAGTTAACTTTTATAGTTGAAGTTAGAGAACGGATCTTTTGTTTTAAACCATACAAAACGTATACCGGTATATCCATCCGTATTGTAAGATAACATAAACGAGAGAAGTTTAAATGCTTTGGTGACGTGAGGCTGAGCGTTAAGAAACGACATCAGCTAAAGCAATTCGTTTTTTTCCAAGTAACGAAATGAATTGGGAATATAATGGAAAAAGAACGATAAATCCCCCCAAAGGAGAAAATTCGTGTCACACGTGAAAAAAGTTGAGATTTAAATTCTCTTATTTTAATTGCCAAAGAAAAAACAAGTCCAAAGAGAAAATAAAATTGGAAAAGAAAAAGTGTAAAAGAAGGAGCCAAGATTTCACACCACCTAAAGTTTTTGTTAAAAATGAAAACAAGATCTAATTTCTCGTGATACAATCGCATTATCATATAAGCTTTTCCGTGATACAAAAGGGAATTTATAATAGTAAATTATCAATTTAATGTCTTCAATTTTCATATTGGCTTTCTTAGCGACTATAGAAAAATAGTAACGATGATTGATGTTATTAAAAAATAAAAAGAATGAATAGTGACGATGAATACTTTTGGCCACGTGGCTTAATCCCAGGTGCTCAGAGTGGAAGCAGGTTTACTTTGGTTCTGGTGTTACTACTGCTGCTGCACCAGATTTTTATCGACGAACAACACTCACCTATATATGGCGCGTCTTCTACACTTCCTCCTTCTTGTCTACACTTCCTCCTTCTTGTCTACACTTCCTCCTTCTTGTCTGTCTGTCTGTCGTAATTAATTTATCTATTTGGTCAACAAAAGATCTAAACTCTGTGGGTTCGATTTTTTAAGTTTCGCTGTTTGAATTTAAAACGTTTATAATCATATGTTATTTTCGACAACTTACATGTTCATGTGTAGTTTATTTAACTGTGTTTGGGTTTAGTTTGATACGCCACTAGCTCATGTAGAGCAGGTTTGCTAAGACTTTAGACAAAAACATCTAAAGCAATTATAGTGTTACCTTATCAATTTTTTTGTTTTTGTTTTTCTACTTTCCGTTTTTTTTTGTTTCATGTTTGAAAGCGATTATTTATTTAAAGACTGACCAAAAAAGCAACGATTGGCTCTTCTCCCAAAAGTCAAAGCTAAAAACGCTAAATCCTTCACTTTCGATCATAAACAAAACAGTCTCATTCAATTCATATATTAAACATTGACATCTCATTTCTTTAATTTGTATTATCCACCATCCTAGACAAAAGAAAATGTATTCGTCAAAAAAGTTTACATTTTGTGTCGCTGAAGTGGATTTAAATGTGTTAAACAAATTTTTTTTTAATTCTTTTCAGAAAAGGAGATTTTAGAACATACTACTCATAATTGAATAACGCCGGAGATTACGGCCCAAAGATTGCAAAAGCCTCAAAATTTACGCAAGATTATTATTATTTCTAATGCTCTCCTCCATCACATCCCATGCAGTCAAATGTCATGAATACCCTTTACCCATAAACTATATCAAGCCATGGCAAGTAAGGGCATTCGCGACATTTCGTATATGCAAACGGGCAAGCTTACTACAACAAAGATTGTTCTCAAAAGTTTAGAAAACAGTAAAATATATATATAAACGAAATCGAGCTTTGGATTATGGAGTGGCTACGATTGCCCACGGCAGATGCAAAATCGGCTTCTTCTTCTCATTCTCTTGACCTCCTCTCATCTTCTTCAATGGAGGTTGTTGCTGCGAGGAGGACGACGACGCTGACCACGAATCGTTTGAGCTTTCGTCGCTATTGAAAGGGTTTGAATCAATCACGCAGCTTGGGCTGTCCAACGATGATGATGATGAATCGTGACTCTTGCGTTTCTTAGAAGATTGGTTTTGGATCTGTAAACCGACGCGGTCCACTGGTAGTTGGAGGATTAAATCGTAGCAAGTTTTCACCTTTTCCTGATAATGCACGAGACTTGTTTGAGAAAATGTCTGAGTGAAAACAGAGTTTTTACTAGTAGAGAGAGATGATTAAGAAGCTAACCTTGGTTAAGTTAAGGGCACCTAGGAGATTAGTTTGGTATGAAGGAGGGTCAAAGGGCTCAAATTGCTCTATAATTCGCATCATGGTAGCTGCGGCAACTACTGATGGGAGGTACCCGACAAATCTTGAATCTGACAAAGACAATGGAGGAAGATAAGACAAGAATGTAAGATAATTACTCAGATTATGGAGTGGGTTTTTTCTTTTTGTCGTTTACGAACCGGAGATTACATAGAGGAGGAGACGGTGGCATTTGTTGAGAAAATCCCAGTGAGCATTGTTCTTAAGTCCCAATCTCCTGATAATGTGGTCAACAAACGAAATTGGAGTAATGAGATGCATCTTCCATTGGAGAGTAGACAGAATCAGTAGCTCCATTCTCTGTATGGTTTTAGCTTCAAACACATACTTTGTCTCCTCCACCTACAAACCCCAAAAAAAAACAGAGAGATGAGAAGGGAAGAACAAAAGACTTAAACTTTAAGGAAATTTATTGCAAGTATCATCATTTACTTGAAAGTCTAGAAGAAGAGGGACTTGGGTTTCTTCGACTTTAGCGGCTAGTGAGAGACAAGCGACAGAAACGAGCTGAAGCATCCAAGGTTTGTCTCTCTGTAAGCTGTAGCTACAGATGAACTTATCGAGATAAGTTATGGCTAAAGCAGCTGCCAAAGTAGAGAAGCCATAATGAGCGTTGACTCTCAGAATCCAACCAACAGCTTCTTTTCGATCCGTGGAGAGATAAACATCATCGAGACAGCTGAGTCTTTGTTCTTCTTCTTTGGAGAAGAGAGTGACCAGATCTTCATCTTCCCAGAACAAATCTTGTGGCAAAAGAACGAATGGAGAAGTAGAAGAAGAAGAAGACAAGGAAGAGTTTTCTTCAACTTCTTCTTCTCCTTCATCTTCCCATTTCTCTTCTTCACAGTATAGAGCATCAAGAAGATACGAATTGCTCTGTTCTTCTCTACTTTCTTCCTCCTTCCGAATCGCCATTGTGGGACTAAACTCAAGAATGAGAAGAAAGATAAGATCTTTATCTTCTCTTCTATATTGTTGTTGATTTAGTTATTGGGGTTTTGGCTCAGAGCATTACACGGAAGAAGATAAGATGATAGAGAGAAAATCTCTCGGAGAGAGACTCATCTTTCCTCTCTATGGAAACGTGCAGTGGTTAGCTTAGCAGGGGAGAGCTACAAAAGAGATACTAGAGAGAGAAAAGATGGAAGTGGGAAGGAGAGTGATAAGAAGAGAGATTGATTTATGAGAGAAGGCGAGATGGTTTTTACGTTTGTCTTTTACTTGCTTGCGCAAATATATTATTTGTTTGTTTTCTTTTTGTGATATTAAATGTGGAATTTCTTTTTCTTTATTTTTATTAAATGTGTGGATTTCTTTGGCTGTTTCCCGCTTTACCCACTTTTACTCATTGGAGTAGAGATCGAGAAACCAAAGTGCAGTAAAATCTGTCGGCTAAATTCTACTACTTTTGGTTGATTGTCAACAATAATATTTTTGTTAAAACTTAAATATATTGCCATACATTGACCAAATAACTTTTTCTAATCGTATCTGAAGTGCGACGCTTAAACGCCGATAGTTCCATTTCTTAAGAGTTAAAAGACAGAGTCGAAACCCTTTTTTTAAGATAATTTTGACTCAAGAGGATGATGAACACGCAAAACGAAGGATTTAGAGTAATAATTCAATAGATTTGCAAGAGAATCTGCGATCTGGTCAAACATGAAAAGATCCAAACTTCGCAATGAGTTTGGCTGACCATCACAAAAATTAACCATCACGCTAGCAATAGCACAAGGAAGATATTAAAAAACAAAGAAATTCGTAGCCAAATTCTAGAAAACACCATCACTATTATCTCTATACATCATAACCACTTCCTGTCAAATTCTAAACGTCTGAGGCTCTAGTAAGGAGGAGGTGGGTATTGTCCTGGGTATGGACCTGGAAACAAGAAGAAAAAAGATCAACCACCACTGAATATAGTTAGAGAAAAGCAAGCGCGATCAATTAAAGCACAAAGCAGAAAAGAAAGGAACATTTATGTACCTTGTGGGTAATATGATGGTTGAGGAGGGTATGGAGGAGGAGGGTAAGCTGAGGATGGCGGAGGAGGAGGGTAAGCTGAAGGAACCGGAGGGTAGGCAGAGGTTGAGGGAGGAGGATAGGCAGATGGCTGAGGAGGATAAGCTGATGAAGCTGGTGGGTATCCTGATGGCTGAGGGTATTGTTGTACTTGTGGGTATAGAGATGGTCCAGAGTATGGTGGTGCTGATGAATACGGAGATGCAGAAGGCGGTGCTGAGTATTGAGGTACTTGAGGCGCATACGGTGCTGATGGCGCACACCCGTAATTTTGTTTCTGCGTACAAGAATGGATTGAATGTTTAGCCTTTTGTTTATAATGGAACATGTAAATCAATGTTGCTAATTGAGTCTCGGCTTACCTTTGCTCCTGCATAATGCAGTATAAGTCTTACTTCTCCAGCGAATCTGCAAGACAGAAAGGTTGATGCATTTTCAGAAGGTTTATAATTATAAAAAAACTAATATTTTTAACAAGCTACAAGAATCTTTGCATATTGTAACCGACTTTTCAGGAACTTGAGAAAACAAAACACAGCCATGGATTGAAAAACTCGTTGATTTTGCATACCTATAACTTTATATCAAAACAAAAATGGTATACCTCAGAGACCAGTTTTAAGCTAATTTGATGCTACAATGTTTAAACGAAACTTTATTTCTCTTTTTTGAGGCAAGGTAACAACAAACAATAGAAGCTCCATATATCTCAAACTGTCTAGTTGTCTTTCATAAGTTCCAGAGAAAACCCAATCTGAATGCTACATCAATTGTGAGTGTGGTCAATGTAGAAACAGAACATTCAGAGCTCCTCGTCATAATTGTTTTTCCACATATAATATTAGGAATGAAAGAACAAGTACTTCACAGATTAATAATGAAAAGAAGTGCAGGTTCTTTGAATTCAAGCAGTTTGCATTAACACCAAAGATGACAAGAAACACACATAATGTCTCTGATCAGTGAACAAAACCATGTCAGCAATGTAAGTAAATGGCAAGAACTAGAAATTCACTCAATAGAAAGCATAGAGGCATAGAGCACACGAACATAGCCACGCAACTGGCGAAACTATATATTCAAGCTCTATATGGTACAAACCACATCAAAAGTTCCACTGATAATGAGCAAGGCCATCACGAAAATAGGTTAGACCAATATGCACCATGCAACTATCGATTACAAAACATTATATACTTAGTGCAAAGGAGCCAAAACAAGTAAAGCCAAAGTTATTACCTCCCAGTTTTAGTCTGCAGAGTCCAGGTACAGTCGTCATATCCCTGAGAAAGAACCTTCTGCAATTGAATCCTATACAACAACAAAAAACCCAGCAAAAAGACTCAATTTCAAATCTAAAGCGGGTATTTAAAAGCATAAAAAGGCAATCATAAGAAGTAACATACGTTGCATTCCCAATGAAGTCATCAGTGGAGAGAGTGTTGCTATTCCAGACAGCAACCTTAATATCCCTAAGCCCTTCAAGCAAAGTGAACATAAACTTCTCTTGGAAAACAGCGTTCTTTCCACCATCTGAAACAAACCCATCAATCAAATTCATAGATTATAAATAGAAAGATCTAAACTTTATTCAATAAAACCGCAATTTATATGGATCTGAAACAAACAAATCATGAATAGAAGAGGTAATTAATAATAACCTGTGCAGGTTCTGGTACGATGCCTTGTGCTGCTATACTCAATGACGACGTATGGATCTTGCCTTGAAAACCATTCCGTGTCTTTCAATTTCTGGCACCCAACAACTGAAACAATCCCACAAATTTTAAAAAAGTTATAAACTTTCTGAGATCAATCAATAAAAGGATGAATATTCAACGGTTTTATAGATAAGGTTGAAGAACATAATAAAATTAGGGATGTGAGAAAGGTACGAACCAGTGACCTCGAGAATCTGGCCTTGTATACCCGCCATCATCGACATGAATTGATGCAAGAATTCGATTGTTTTAAGAAAGATTAGGGTTTGAAAGAGAGATTGAGAAATACGAGAGAGAGAATCGGCGTGTGTTTAAATATAAATAAAATGGAAACTTTGTAATGAATAACGCAGAAGTTGCTTTCAAGAACAAGACGCGTACGTAATGCGTTGACCGTAACTTTGACTTTACATTATTAACTTTTTTTTTTCTTTTTTTCTTCCCACGGCTTTAGATTATACGCGTTTTTTCCTCAATTATCTAAGTCCAGTATAATTAGGCTTTCTCTTCCATTTGACATCTGTTGATAATAATATTTGATGAATATTGTATTTCTTTTAACAATGTTTTTCCAATAGAGAACTCTATGATTGATCAAGTTGACAAGTTATATAGTACGAGAATATGCCAAAAATCGGTTTTGCATACCAAGTTTTTATAGTAACAACGGTTTCTAATGGTTCGACACCGCATTTTATTTTGCTATATATTTTAGATTACATATGTCATTCTTATTATTTACGATAATTGAAAACATAACAAACGGCTCTACACAAAACCACACAATGGATAATTCTATTCCCACACTATTAAAGATTCACGAGTAGATGATGATGCTATACATCACAATCAATAAGTAAATATAGAATAGATATAGGCATATAGCTTTGCTAGATACAACCACTTATTATCTTGTGGATGATATCAGGCCTGGCTCAAGGATGGACAGAAAAAAAACAAAAAGTCTCCCGGATGTATCACTAGCATGCGTCCAATGGCCCAAATTGACATATCCAAACCACAACGCTAAAATGCATTTACATCTTTTTGAAGTTTAAAATGGCATGATTATCTAGAAACTCAAAATTAATATATTATTAAGCAATTCCTGCAATTTGTTTTCTCGTGGAACAAGTCATCCTAATACAAAGGCAGTCACTTGGAAATAGCACTCTCTGTTGAAATAATTTTATTCAAAGTTGCAGCATTTCAAAAATAAAAAAAATTGTCTATCCGTTTACGTATTTGAAAAAGATGGTTCTACAAAGAAAAAATGGATATCTTTTTTTTCTTTTGTAGCTAATTATTGGCTGAAAAGATTCAAACATATAAATTGATAATATGTTTGGTACTGATGCATGCAACATAATATAAACTGGAGAATTTACTTGATGGGGGTCAATTGTTTTATTCAGGATGCTTCTTGCAAAATTTACGAATGTAGGCATCCTCAAGGAAAACAATCTTAGTCTCTCATCTCTAAGATTACAGGAAAAGAGATCAACATATAGTATATAACCATAAATCAATATCCAAATCCACTATATTGTTTTCTTGATATAAATCGAAATCAACTTGTCTGTAGCGTACTTCGATTTCTCATTCTACTGCTCAAAATCAGCAAGTAAATGATTCTAAACTCTTACAAGTCTAGATGATATTTGTCTACCTAATGCAACCTCTATTGTTATAAGCCAATCCAAGTAATATAGTAAACACAATTTCGCATTCTTTAGTAATATATGAACACTTAAGAGTCCCATATAGAGTACCTCAGATTATTTCCTTCTCATTTGAGGAAAACCTAGCCCTACATTCCCAGTGTTGCCCACTGCTTGTATCGGTTCAACCAAACCTTTTGTATTCTTCCCTAGCGTCTCACCCTGCATTAGCATTTCCCCAATAATCATAAATTACAGTGACACCAAATAACATCACAACTCAAAAGTGATAAGATTCACAAGTTACCTCCTTCCAACCCATGTTTCCCATTATCCTCCTTGCATAGCTTCCAGATCCAAATGATAGCTCCAATGCTTCTGCTACAGTATCCTCTTCAGAAGCAGTGTCGGGAACTGAATGCTCGTCCGTGTCATGGCCCACTGTTGTTCCTTTTTGACCTGGTCCAACACCATATCCACCATGCAAATTTCTTCTCTCAGCGGCTCTATCTCTGTATGAACAGCTTCTCTGCTGATAAACACCAACGAGCAACAATGAAAATAGTAGCTTACTAGGTTTCTAACTATGCCAACGAAATGCTCTTAGCAGATTTAAGTTTCTCACTGAATGCCCCATACACAGAGCTTTAGAAATATGTCTCCTGCTAGATATTGGGCAGAAATTCAAGACGTAGGATGTTTACATCCTTCACAAACATTTTGAAACATAAAATACAAGAATCCAGCCATGAAGGTGAATTTGGAGTACCTCTTCGATCATGTTGACTTCATCTCGTGGCTTCACTGTGAGTTTGCAGTCAGTTTTTGGTTTCACCTTCTTAGCTTCGTGTTTTGTCTCTTGCTAGATATTAGACAAAAATTCAAGAAGCAGGGTGTTAACATCCTTCACAAACATTTTGAAACAAAAAATATAAGAGTTCAGCCATGAAGGTGGATTTGCAGTACCTCTTCAAACATGTCGACTTCACGAGGCTTCACTGTAAGTTTGCTGTCAGATTTTGTTTTCACCTTCTTAGCTTTGCGTTTTTTCTCCTGCTAGATATTTGACAGAAGTTCAAGAAGCAGGATGTTTATATCCTTCACAAACATTTTGAAACATAAAATACAAGAATTCAGCCATGAAGGTGGATTTGGAGTACCTCTTCAATGTCGACTTCACGAGGCTTCACTGTAAGTTTGCAGTCAGTTTTTTGTTTCACCTTCTTAGATTTGCGTTTTGTATCAGGATTTTGCCATGCAGTTGAAATATCAGGGAATCCCCAATCTTTTGTTGGGTTGGAGGAGTCATATACTGACAAGGATGCAATGTATTTGGCACTAGGATTTTGAAGTTTATAGACCTGACCTGGAAAAAAAGATTTGAGAATCAAATTCGATTACTAAGTTTCACTACATAACAAAGCACATAGGTTTAACAAAAATCTATTCCAGCAAAACAATATTTGTTAACAGGAACAAGGCTTGGTTATAAGGAAAATGGTAAACCTGTCCTAACTCGCACTAGGTGAAGCCGTGCTTCACAAATTGGAGCAGTTTTGAGAAGTGTGCTACCAGAAGCCACAGATGGATGAAGATTGGCAGACCGTCTGACCAGCCTCCCTACTAACCTAGCCACTTGTTCATTGTCAGCTTCTCTGGATTCACATACAAGTTTCCAATCCCACAAATCAACAGACGGGATCTCAGGCAGGGTCTTCCCAGGGGATTCAACGACTTGACCATATTGTGCTAGCCATCTTTCTTCCTCGCTTGAAGGAGCAGCTAGAAATGAAACTATGAGCATCAAAGCTATGTTTATAAGCCGAAGAAAGCACATCATCAAAGTAATAAGATTCCTTAAACAGTACTACGGGTTAGTTAATCATTTCAAATTTTAAGATCAACTTACGAGAGAAATATACTATACGCCATGAGGAATAAGGATTTATTTAGCTTCGTATATCAATAACTATAACCAAGAAAGCTGATACGGTGCAGGATAAAACCAAATGACAAGAACAGAAGGAGAAAACACCTTCATCAAAGTTCTCTGCCTGTGGATCAAAATCTTCTTCAGGAATCCATTCTCCGTCTTCAAGTTCCTCAGCATCATCGTCTCCTGGAGAACAAACACAATTTGTAGCTTCTCTCCTTAAATTCCAAACTTGAAGAGCAAATTCATTCCAAAGTTTGCAATATAAAAGGCTAATAAGCATTATCCCAGGCAAAGACCATTAGCTGACAACATCTGGTAATCCTGATTATTTTTCCCAGAAGCCCTCTCATAGCTGGAAGCACTGGGATGTTGATTATAACCAGCCAGATAAAGTTCGATTAGTGTATCTTCCACCCTGATCCAAAGGAAAAAAAAAAGTTTCATAAACCATATGATGAAAAAACATATATTAATTTCCATGATGTGATAAAAGGTATAACCACCAACCATGAGGAAGGTCGTTGATTATGTTCAGGTTCCTGGTCATTTGAGCACCCTGTTGTCTCTTTCAAGCAAAAAACGTGTCTATCAGTTATTTGTTATAGATGCTACACAATAATCCACCGGAACACTACATGTAAATTTACCTGAAGGAGTTTCTCCAGGATTACTCAGTGAAACTTCACATCCATTTTCTACATTCTCAGCATATTTTCTGCCTGAGTCATCATCTTCAGATGGCTCATAAGTGACAATATCTCCAGGAGGGTTGATGGCAGACTCGTCGTATTCCAAGGGAACATATTCGCCATTTTCATGCTTGTAATAACGACCATCCTTGATACAATAATACCAACCAGCATTTGGGTCATGGTAAAACCCACTACTGCAATTCACAAATCCAAACAAAAGTTAGCATTCAAAATTGAATAGAGTCCTTAGTTCAATGGAATTAAGCATCACTCTCAATAAAGTCTCTGCCTTTTTCATCACTCTTTATAGTTAAAAAGCTAAATAGCAGATATACTGCGATATCTTATATTGCAAATTATGTAAGATCCAAGCTTTAATACAAAGACAATCAAACCCAAACACAATGGACAATTTCTGCTTATATCCAATAAAAACTAAAGCAAGCTAAGGAAATTAGGCTATAAAATCCATAGGTTTGGAAAGATACGTAGCCTGTGATGGATATAGAGCTGCTTATCGCTGTCCCAAACGTAGGAGTCTTCTTCCTTGGGTTCCTGCAACTCTTTATCGTCGTCGGGCATGAGGATTGATTGCTGGAATCTCAACGAAACGACCAAAGATTGCTGAAACTAAAGCCTGGATAATCAAATTGAGCAAAAGATCATTACTTTGACGATGATTCTCAATAATCGCTTGTCAAATTTGGTTTCAAAAACTGGATTTTACAGTTCTGATGAAGAGAAAAAAAAATAAACACAAATTTCTAAAGAAACGAGGAGAGGAGGGTTAGTCGGAAAACCATCTCTCGGTTTCGAGTCCAATTTACGGTTCATTGTTGAAAAACCGGAGTGCTACGGTTTAGGCCCAGTAAGGTTTAAGCCCATCAAGTAGAAGCCCAAGTCAACGACAGAAGCTTTAAATTGTGAAATCTTTCTAACTGTATTGTTTTCTCATTCACCATCTCATGTTATCGTCAAAGGGAAATGTGATTGCAAGGAGTTGTTACCAGAATTATACACTGTATATAAGAATCAATGAACCTAAATAGTGGAATTTAAGAATTTTTTGAAAATTTTAAAATCAATTTACTAATAACCATTCTTAAGTCCTAACAAACTATTGTTGTTGAAAGAGAAAAAGACAATAGAAGATAACTCAAAGAAGAATGTTGATAGAAAGAGTGAAAAAAGGGAAGAAGAATGACGAATGCAATGACGTGAGATTCAACTCCTACCAAAAGGATATCAAGTCTTGTTGTTTGTAATTAGACATGTCATTGTCAATGCTGACAAAATAACGAAGACAAACAAATCCGACTTGGAGATAAGCCGATTTAGATTTATTCAACTCCTATCATAAGGATATCAAATTTTCCATATCATCAACTTTAGAAAGTTTCTCAAATCTCTGCAACGATTGATCTCTTTTCTTCTTTTAAAACATTAATTTGATATGGCCATATGGGGTCCGTTTTGTGATTGTAACACATGATTGCAACATTTTGAGTCATATCTTGTTGACAAAACGATGCAGTTTCGGACTTTCGTTAACATATATTGTAGTTGTTATATATCAACCAAGCGTTATCTCCCAAACTTCATTCTCTTACCTCGCCTCTTGCTTCAACCTCCTAAACACATTCTTATTAGCCAGATCCTGATTTTCTCATCAGCCAAACATGGGAACTTCCGGCAAAGTCTCTAAGCTCCATTTCTTGCTCTTCCCTTTCATGGCTCATGGCCACATGATACCAACTCTGGACATGGCCAAGCTCTTCGCTACCAAAGGAGCTAAATCCACTATCCTCACTACACCTCTAAATGCCAAGCTCTTCTTCGAGAAACCCATCAAATCATTCAACCAAGACAACCCGGGACTCGAAGACATCACCATCCAGATCCTTCATTTCCCTTGCACTGAGCTTGGTTTGCCTGATGGATGTGAGAATACTGATTTCATCTTCTCGACGCCTGACCTAAACATAGGTGACTTGAATCAAAAGTTTTTACTCGCAATGAAATATTTCAAAGAGCCACTAGAGCAGCTCCTTGAGACAATGAGACCAGACTGTCTTGTCGGCAACATGTTCTTCCCTTGGGCCACTAAAGTCGCTGAGAAGTTTGGAGTACCGAGACTTGTGTTCCACGGCACAGGCTTCTTTTCTTTATGTGCTTCTCATTGCATAAGGCTCCCTAAGAATGTAGCTTCAAGTTCTGAGCCCTTTGTGATACCTGATCTCCCGGGAGACATTGTGATTACAGGGGAGCAGGTCATAGAGAAAGAAGAAGAGTCTGTAGTGGGGAGGTTTATGAAGGAAATAAGAGACTCAGAGAGAGATAGCTTTGGTGTGTTGGTGAACAGCTTCTACGAGCTTGAACCGGCTTACTCAGATTATTTCAAGAGTTTTGTGGCGAAAAGGGCGTGGCATATCGGTCCGCTTTCTTTAGGAAATAGAAGGTTCGAGGAGAAAGCAGAAAGAGGCAAAAAAGCAAGCATTGATGAGCATGAATGTTTGAAATGGCTCGATTCCAAGAAATGTGATTCAGTGATTTACATGGCCTTTGGAACCATGTCTAGCTTTAATAACGAGCAGCTGATAGAGATTGCAGCTGCGTTGGATATGTCAGGACATGCTTTTGTCTGGGTGGTTAACAAAAAAGGCAGCCAAGGTATCATAGACATCTCTGTTTTTGCAGCATAATCCTCTGTTTTTGTTTTAGAGAAAACCAATGGTTTAATTTGGATTCTATTGTTTCAAACTCTAACTTTTGTGTTTGCATTACATTTAAATAGTTGAGAAGGAAGATTGGTTACCAGATGGGTTTGAAGAGAAGACGAAGGGAAAAGGATTAATAATCCGTGGGTGGGCGCCACAAGTGCTGATACTAGACCATCAAGCAACTGGTGGATTTTTGACGCATTGCGGATGGAACTCGCTTCTAGAAGGCGTGGCTTCGGGCCTGCCAATGGTGACGTGGCCCGTGGGAGCCGAGCAGTTCTACAATGAGAAATTGGTGACACAAGTGTTGAAAACAGGAGTGAGTGTGGGAGTGAAGAAGATGATGCAAGTCGTTGGAGACTTCATTAGCAGAGAGAAAGTGGAGAGAGCAGTGAGGGAAGTGATGGTTGGAGAAGAGAGGAGGAAACGGGCCAAGGAGTTAGCGGAAATGGCGAAAAATGCGGTGAAAGAAGGAGGATCTTCAGATCTAGAGTTGGATAGGTTGATGGAAGAGCTTATGTTGGTTAAATTGCAAAAAGAGAAGGTATAAAGAAATTGAATGTATTGCAAGTTATGGAATAATGTTTTTGTAATTCTGTTGGTTTGAGTAACGAAAAGAAAGTTAGTAAAAGATTGTATTTGTTCATTCAAATTTACAATGAATGACCTTTTAGTTTGTAGTATTGGTAGATGAATGTGAAGTTAGGTTCTTGAGCCATCAGGACACAAACCCAACAATAGTTCCGTTAAGTTTTGTTCGTTCTGTTAAAATAAAGAACAAAAACCACGAGGAGTCCACTAAGATTTGGTACACACCAACATCAATACCTAACCTTTAATTCTTTCTAAAAATTAAAATAATTTTAAGAGAAATTTTAATTACAAGACATTTTATTTGATTAGGATCGTCAAACTATCTCTAGAAGAAACATATCTGTTGGGTGACTGATAAATACGATCTTCTAAGTCCTGATAAACTGGTGGACCAAATAACCTCACTTTTCTCTAATGCAAAGATCCAAATTGACCAAGACAAGTAACCCAATGCATTGACCAAATCAAGAAACCCAATGCATTGACCAAGTCAAGTTACCCATTGCTTTGTATTGATGTTATCGGTATGTGTTATCATGATTAAAAAAAATCATGAAAACAAAATAATTGTTATAGTTAATACATTGATATTAATATTAATCCGGTGATTTTTTATTATTGGTCAACTAATCACACTTTTTTGTGGATTAATTTGATTGTACACATATGTTTTTTCTCTTCTCTCATTTTCTTTTTATAAAAAAAATGATCATAATTTTGTTGATCTCGAAATTAGTTTACAAGTTACAAGGTTTTGGTTCCAAAAGACCTTGAAACTGATACCACTCTGACACGTTAAGAAGATAGGAAGTACCAAAGAAACCAAAACTAGAGACGTATGCAAAGACGTCAGTATCCGTTACCCATCTATTATCATTCCCAAATTTTCGTGATTTATATATAGATATTTACTCCACTCTTACAACCATTAAATCACGACGAGGGAAAACAATATTTTCTACGAACTTCAGAATCTTTCATCTCTCTTAATTAATTTTCTCAAATTTCTCAAAACATCTCATTTTCTTTTCAACCAGTCAATCATGGGTAGTGACCATCATCATCGAAAGCTCCATGTTATGTTCTTCCCTTTCATGGCTTATGGCCACATGATACCCAACTCTAGACATGGCTAAGCTTTTCTCTAGCAGAGGAGCCAAATCCACAATCCTCACCACACCTCTCAACTCCAAGATCCTCCAAAAACCCATCGACACATTCAAGAACCTGAATCCGAGTCTCGAAATCGACATCCAGATCTTCGATTTTTCTTGCGTGGAGCTCGGGTTACCTGAAGGATGTGAAAACGTAGATTTCTTCACTTCAAACAACAATGATGATAGAAACGAGATGATCGTGAAATTCTTTTTTTCGACAAGGTTTTTGAAAGACCAGCTTGAGAAACTCCTTGAGACAACGAGACCAGACTGTCTTATCGCAGACATGTTCTTCCCCTGGGCTACTGAAGCTGCTGGGAAGTTCAATGTGCCAAGACTTGTGTTCCACGGCACTGGCTACTTCTCTTTATGCGCTGGTTATTGCATCGGAGTGCATAAACCACAGAAGAGAGTGGCTTCAAGCTGTGAGCCATTTGTGATTCCCGAGCTCCCTGGGAACATAGTGATAACTGAAGAACAGATCATAGATGGCGATGGGGAATCTGACATGGGAAAGTTTATGACTGAAGTTAGGGAATCAGAAGTGAACAGCTCAGGAGTTGTTGTGAATAGTTTCTACGAGCTAGAACATGATTATGCCGATTTTTACAAAAGTTGTGTACAAAAGAGAGCGTGGCATATCGGTCCTCTCTCCGTTTACAACAGAGGATTTGAGGAGAAGGCTGGGAGAGGAAAGAAAGCGAACATTGATGAGGCTGAATGCCTCAAATGGCTCGACTCCAAGAAACCAGATTCAGTCATTTATGTTTCCTTTGGGAGCGTGGCTTTCTTCAAGAATGAGCAGTTATTCGAGATCGCTGCAGGGTTAGAAGCTTCCGGCACAAGTTTCATATGGGTTGTTAGGAAAGCCACAGGTAATGATATTGACGTTTGAAGCCTATATAGTATAACTGTAATTTGGGTTGCTTTGTTTTTAATCTGATACAAAATTTGGAGTGAACAGATGACAAAGAAGAATGGTTACCAGAAGGGTTCGAAGAGAGGGTGAAAGGGAAAGGGATGATAATAAGAGGATGGGCACCACAGGTACTGATACTTGACCACCAAGCAACCGGTGGGTTCGTGACCCATTGCGGCTGGAACTCGATTCTTGAAGGAGTGGCTGCAGGGCTACCGATGGTGACATGGCCGGTTGGAGCGGAGCAATTCTACAACGAGAAATTGGTTACACAAGTGCTCAGAACAGGAGTGAGCGTGGGAGCGAAAAGGCATGTGAAGGTTATGATGGGAGATTTCATTAGCAGAGAGAAAGTGGATAAAGCGGTGAGGGAGGTTTTTGCTGGGGAAGCGGCAGAGGAGAGGCGGAGGCGGGCAAAGAAGCTGGCGGCGATGGCTAAAGCCGCCGTGGAAGAAGGAGGGTCTTCCTTCAACGGTCTAAACAGCTTCATGGAAGAGTTTAGTTCATAATCTTCATACAGATTATATAAGAGATATAAGTTAATTCACTGTTTGTCAAGTTAGTTAACAAAAATGGCAGCTACCTTACCATAGGCATCTCTCTAACTATTATCTTCAGCATAATCCTCTGTTTTGTTAGAAGAAAACCAATGGTTAAAGAATCAATATTTTTAAATGCTAACAATGAATTTGATAGTGTACTGGTTTGAGTTACTTCAACAATTACGTACTTGTTTTCTATTAACTGTTGATTCAATGTCACGTGCTTCGCTGTCAAAGTGTTTTAGTAGTATTTTCATATGTGAAAAAAAACTAGCATAATATTTGGATTTGTTCATTCAAATTTAAAATGACCTCTTAGTTTGCAGTATTGGTAAATGATGATGGTGTTCAAAAAAAAAAAAAACTGCAAAGGATGGTGATTATCGGTTCTTTAAATTAGTTAAAAAGAATTTTAGTTTCAAAACTTTACCTGATTAGCATACAAACTCTAAATATTTTTTTTTAATTTTATTTTTCATTATAGCCAGAAGCTTTTTGTGTGGATAATATCCAAATATCCCATAAGGCAATGGCAATTTGCATTCTTCTAACTGGTGGACCACCACCACCAACCCACATGTTATGACTTATGATCATAAACTTTTCTCATTTTCCTCTGATATCTAGACCCAATGCATTAGAGAAATAAACAATTTCTTAAATGGCAAAATATAAATCTTGACAAAAAAAAAAAAAAAAATATACCTACTTAGTATTTTTTTCGTACATGAATAACTAAAGTAGATAAATAGTAATACAATTTCTTCTCGTGATTAAGACGTCAGACAAAATAACAGTAAATCGTTAATCAAATTAAAATAATCGAGTGAGTGATTATATATGGTTATCTTATTTATCATAGAAAAGTTAACATATGATGGATCTCTAAATTGATTTTCTTCAAAAAAAAAAAAAAAAAAAAAACTGCAAGCGACGTATGCAAACACGTACCGGAAACAAGTGATGTATGTGAAGACGTCAGAGTCCACTATACCCAAAATAGTCACACCCATAATACATATAATATAGATATGTATAAAACTCTTACAATCATTCAACACGACTAGATAAAACATTTGTTTTCAGATTCTCTCATTTCTTTTTATTAATTTTTTCTCAAAAACATCTCATTTTCTTTTCGACCAAACTCAAACATGGGTAGTAATCATCATCGTAAGCTCCATGTTATGTTCTTCCCTTTCATGGCTTATGGCCACCTGATACCAACTTTAGACATGGCTAAGCTTTTCTCTAGCAGAGGAGCCAAATCTACAATCCTCACCACACCTCTCAACTCCAAGATCCTACAAAAACCAATCGACACATTCAAGAACCTGAATCCGAGTCTTGAAATCGACATCCAGATCTTCGATTTCCCTTGCGTGGAGCTAGGGTTACCAGAAGGATGTGAAAACGTCGATTTCTTCACCTCAAACAACAATGATGATAGACAGTATCTGACCTTGAAGTTCTTTCTGTCGACAAGGTTTTTCAAAGACCAGCTTGAGAAGCTCCTCGAGACAACGAGACCAGACTGTCTTATCGCCGACATGTTCTTCCCATGGGCTACTGAAGCTGCTGAAAAGTTGAATGTGCCAAGACTTGTGTTCCACGGCACTGGCTATTTCTCTTTATGCTCCGAATATTGCATCAGGGTGCATAACCCACAAAACAGAGTAGCTTCGAGTTGTGAGCCATTTGTGATCCCTGATCTCCCTGGGAACATAGTGATAACAAAAGAACAGATCGCAGACCGTGACGAAGAAAGCGAGATGGGGAAGTTTATGATTGAGGTCAAAGAATCTGATGTGAAGAGTTCTGGTGTTATTGTCAACAGCTTTTACGAGCTTGAACCTGATTACGCCAATTTTTACAAGAGTGTTGTAGTGAAGAGAGCATGGCATATCGGTCCGCTCTCGGTTTACAACAGAGGGTTTGAGGAGAAGGCTGAGAGAGGAAAGAAAGCAAGCATTGATGAAGTTGAATGCCTCAAATGGCTTGACTCCAAGAAACCAGATTCAGTCATTTACATTTCCTTTGGGAGCGTGGCTTGCTTCAAGAACGAGCAGCTATTCGAGATCGCTGCAGGATTAGAAACTTCTGGAGCAAATTTTATCTGGGTTGTTAGGAAAAACACAGGTATAGAAATTAACGTTTCAAACAATTGCAGCTTATATAATTGGATTTTTGGGCTGCTCTGTTTCTTACTCTTAACAAAATTTGGTATGAATAGATGACAAAGAAGAATGGTTACCAGAAGGGTTTGAAGAGAGGGTGAAAGGGAAAGGGATGATAATAAGAGGATGGGCACCACAGGTACTGATACTAGACCATCAAGCAACTGGTGGGTTCGTGACCCATTGCGGCTGGAACTCGCTTCTTGAAGGAGTGGCTGCAGGGCTACCGATGGTGACATGGCCGGTTGGAGCGGAGCAATTCTACAACGAGAAATTGGTTACGCAAGTTCTTAGAACAGGAGTGAGCGTGGGAGCTAAAAAGCATGTAAGGACTACGGGAGATTTCATTAGCAGAGAGAAAGTGGATAAAGCAGTGAGGGAGGTGTTGGTTGGGGAAGAGGCGGATGAGAGGCGGGAGCGGGCAAAGAAGCTGGCAGAGATGGCTAAAGCCGCTGTGGAAGAAGGAGGGTCTTCTTTTAATGAGCTAAACAACTTCATAGAAGAGTTTACCTCCTAATTAGCAGAGACGAAGGCAGAGAAGAGGTTGTGATGGCCAAAGCCGCGGTGGAGAAAACAGGGTGTTCCTTTATCGTTTTGAATAGCTTCATTGAAGAGCTCAGTAAGAGAATGAAGAGTAGTTCGATTCTGCTTGGCCTTTGATTTGGTGATAAGAGTAGACTTGTGCTACAATAAAATATAAGCTATACCATTTGTCTTCAGTTCTGAGTCTGAGAAATGTTACTCCTAAAGTAACAAAAAGAATTGTTACTGAGAGCCGAAAATTAACAGAGAATGAGTGCATATATATACTTATATCAATGGAATAAATAGATTTCGCTATTAACTATGGCAGATTCAAGGGATCTGCCTTATCACTGCTGCTTCCTAGCTATGTAGAGTTCTCGGTTTCCCGTTTGATCTGCAGCGCAGCCCTTACAACGTTTCCCCTTGTAAGGATCCCAATCTTGTTGCCCGGAAAAAAAAAAAAGAATGTGTTTAGAAACTGAAAAGATAAGACAAAAATCAAACTGCAGAAAGAAGAAGAATTGGGATTCTCACCAGTTTTCCATCAGCATCCACGACTGGTAATCTTCGGAATTTTGTTTCCAGAAGCAACCTGGAGACCAAAAATGGTTACAGTTCTTGTAATGTCACTAGAAAAATTGGATTGAACTCACTCCCCCTAAGCTTCTACCATTTAATGTTTGCAAAGGGAAAAAATAAAGAGGAAGATACCTGGCTGCATCTTCTAAATTGGTAGAATCACGGACAACGAGAGGAGATGGTGTCATCAAGTCTCCAACAACTTTTCCATATGTCTTACTGATCAGTTTCTGGAGTTCATTAAACGTCTGGCGAAAAGAGAATCGAATATGGTATAAGTAAACCTCATTCCCAGGAATTTCATGCAAATGAAACAAACACTAGTCCTCAACTAAAGCAAACGATGAATAAACGGATAGGGAGAAACATACTTTCCAGGTACTGTCAACATCAGGGAACAAGTTTGTATCATTTTGACTGCGGCCTATAATATAAAAGACAAGAGGTTAAGTTGTTTTCGCCAAACTGCGCTATACAAAACCATAAAACGTACTTGACAACAAAACTAAACATGAAACTACGTGCAAACAAAAATAAGATCATCCACAAGTCCAGAAGTGAAATCCTAGAAATAGATTATGACTTAACTCCTTAACTCTGTTCCTAAACAATAAGAGTATTCCTAGGATTATATATAGTGAAACTGAAACCGTATGCTTTTGTGATCATCACACAAGGGGTTTCTCTTCTTGCGGAAAGAAAACCAACAGAAGATTTTACAAACTTGGGGTATACATTACCAGAGATGGAGTCCAGTGCAAGCAAATCGTAATCAGAAACAACACCAACCTGCAGGAGAAATAACAACAGGGTAAGTAAAAGATCTCAGATAGATAAAGCATATCTTGTTAACTTCTGAATCCAATAAATCAGTAACTAAACCAACGACGCTAGCTTATACGACTATGGATAATCATGAGCTTGTTGCTCAAGAATCTAAACAGAGGAACACAATGACAAAAGAGATCATTTATACCAGTGTCCAATTATCATCAATTACAGGCAATCCCGTGACTTTCTTCTCAACCAGAAGTTCCAATGCTGGAAGATAACCAAAAAACCAAAATTTAGAGACTACTACAAGGATTGATTGCTGGAAAATTTGTACCAATTTTCTGAATAATTACCATCATCGACCGAGGTTGAGGGCTTAACAACGTGCAAATTCTGTCTCGGTGTCATGAAATCCCCAACAGTGTAACCTCCATTTTTTGCCTGAAACACCCAAAAGAGCCAAAACAAAATCTCAAAATATAAGCCAAAAGGGTTAGGGGTCAAAAGGGTTTATCTAAAAGGAGGAAACTTGACTCACCGGAACAGAGTTATTATTAACGCTGGCAGGAGCTGCGAAGAAGGCAGAGACGGCGATTGACGGTGAAAAAGTGGAGGAGCGACGACGATTAGAGAGAGGAAGAAGAGGGAAAGATGAAGAAGAAATCGGAAGGAAGCATTGATGATTGAGTGATGTAAGTAGTGGAAGTCGCGTTATGGGCAGAGAATAGGATAAAGAGATGGAACCCATAATCGCTTATCCTCTGTACCTCACCAATTCCAATGAAAAATTTAATCTTTTTTTATGAAATCTGAGAGAAACAAAGGTAGAAAATTTTGTTGAAGGAGAGAGAGAAGTGAAGAAGAAGAAGGAGAAGCGTTTTGATTGGGTGGGTAAACTTCGGGGAAAAGGTACTTGTGATGGTGGTGGTGGGGACATGGCCACATATCAATTTTCGTATTTGGTTGATTGGTCGGCATTTTTACTATTCCTTTGGGTCGTCGATTTCGAAACGATATTTTCGACTCTTTTTTTTCGTCAAAATTTGTAAAAGTCCAATTTCGAATTAACAAGAAACCCTAATTGGAACCCTCTTTTGGTTTTAAGTGTTACTGGACTTTTATGTCGTCATTGTTGAATGTTGACATGAGTTAAAATATCTAGAGAGTTTGATAATGGGAATAATGCAAATTAAATGCTGAACTTTTTCATTACGTCGTTTTTAATTCCCAACTTTTTCTGAAACGATTTAAATGCTGAACTTTCTTTGACTTTTCATTTAAATGCCAAACTTTGTTTGACTTTTCCATTTAAGACCCGACGTTCATAACCCTAGAAATTGATTACACTTCGATGGCACACCACAGACTCCGACAACGTTCGATGTTATAGAACTTGAACTCATTATACCAAGTTGAGAGAATCACAAGAATGAATCCAAAAGAGAATGAGTAAATCCCAGAAGAGAATGAGAGAAATCTGAAGCTTTCGATTTCTAGGGTTATGGGTTTGGGGATTTTTCGATTTGGGGCAAATGAGTTTGATTGGGGTTTTGTAAATTCAAAAAACGACGTCGTTTATGTGTATTAAAACGGCATCGTTTTAATTTAAGAGGAGCTATTAACGGCATTTAATCAGCGTTTAATTGTTCCGTTGATCGACTTAACGTCGGGTCTTAAATGGCAAAGTCAAATAAAGTTTGGCATTTAAATGGAAAGTCAAAAAAAGTTTACTATTTAAATCGTTTCAGGCAAAGTTGAGAATTAAAAATGACGTAATGAAAAAGTTCATCATTTAATTGGCATTTTTCCCGTTTGATAATAGTCGGTCACACTTTAATAAATACTTCAGAATTAGTTCACAAATGTCATCAGACCTAAAAGCTGTCTCGCTGCATGTCATCTAGTTGTCAAATACACACAAAGAAAACAAGTAGACGATATAGTTCATGCGCAATGTGCTGGAAAACAAAATTCATGTATGAAAAATCCGAATATCCTGAATACTTAATGTAGATAAAAGACTTTCTTTTCTTGTAAGTAGATAGTTTCTCATTGTCTAATAGATGCAGAAAAAGTATTCCAAAAGCAAAATCAATAACTGCCAAGTGCCAATCAACCAAGAAGCAAGTGGATTAAAAAAGTATTATCTCATCAAACACTGTAAGCTGATAATGAGACCAATCATCCAATTTTAGTTTTTACCACAACGATTTTATCCACCTTTCACCATAAATTAGAGCTTCAAAACTGGTAAGAAAAAGACTAGAAGCAACAATCACAGTCCTTATCGATATCAAGTTTATCTTCCGTGAAGACTAGATCGAATAAGCAAGAACATGCAACTAAATCAGAAGAACAAAGCAGATGGGTTTTTCCTTTGTGGTTTTGAAAACGAAGGTTTAAAATAACACAAAAGCAGTTATGTGGAGGAATCCAAATTCCCAGGTAGGGAACGAATAGAGAAAGAAACAACTCCAATTGTATGGGAGAGACAAAAGCAAAAGATCAAATGGTAAAAAACAAGTTAAGAGAGGTTCAAGGAAGCGAGCTGCTCGGCTGCACCACCAGCAGCGACGCTCCTGAGAACATCCATAGCCTCTGCAACTTTGGCCTTGAGAGCTTCTGGTGACTCCAACAGATGGAGCACTTCAGTCTGGTCCATCTCCAAAAGCATCCCAGTCACTTTGGCTGCAGACTCTGCCTCAAGCTGCTCCACCAACGGGTACAGACTCTCACCCAGCATCTGCACACTCACCAAAGGGTCAACATTAAGCATTATAATAATCAAAACAAAACCAGTCTCTCTATCTGGTCTTTTAGAGATTCTCTCACCGTCCTCTGTTGCTCTGGAGAAGCATTAGCTAGATGTGAAGCCAAAGCTCCAATAGGCAATGGCATGTTGTTGCCCATATCATATGGAGGCACCTCACCACTACCACCACGTCCTTGGGGATACCGGAACATCCGACCCCTTGGATGCATCTAACCACCAGCCAAACAGAAAACTCATATGATCAACTATTTAAAGAGAGAGGAGCAAGCAAAGCAGCATTATTGCAACTAAATAAGGAAAAGAGAAGAACCTGTTGTTGCATCATGGGATTTTGCTGCTGGGGGTGTTGGATTCCCCCAGGACGTCTTCCTCCCCCAGGACGCTGCTGCTGTTGCTGAACCATAGGCATGAAGAAATTGGGTCCAGGGCCCCCACCAGGTCTCATTCCAGGAACAAGCTGCTGTTGGTATCCAAACCCAGGCTGTGGCATTGCACAAGTACAGGTTAATATTAGGTTAAACATTATCCCAACAGTTTCAAAATAGAATTGGGAAGCATCTGGGCTCATTTGAGCAAAATCGCATACGGCTACTTAAAGTAGAGCAAACATGATGATTACCTGGGGAGGAATCATGGTAGGAGGGCCCTGACCATAGAACATTTGTTGTCCAATACCAGGACCACCCGGGGGATACACTGGCATGCGGGGACCAACAGACGGCTGCATTGCAACTGGCCTCACTTGGGAAAACTGAGCCTATTCACATCAATGCAAACACTCAGCAGTTAGCAGCAGGAGATAAAAAATGAGATTTTTATGTCTTCCTAATACTAGGACATTTGTTGTTTTTACTTTATACATTATTGTACTGTACAATGGAAATTGTTACGAATTGAAGTCAATTTTATAATCTTATCACAATTTATTTACATATGTTCTTGCTCACAGCCTAAAACGACATATCTACATCTTCACAATACCATATAATTTCCAAACGACATGAGTAGGGCCTGGATTATAAAGATGCATCAGTATTGAGATATGCAGCGGAAAACATTTCAAGACTTGGATATGATGGGTCCAATGGTTTAGAGTTGACACTCCAACAGACAAAGTAGGAGTAGTAAGTATATCACAAGAAGAGGTGATTCCAAGAGACTGACCCTTCTGTCTTCCTTCCGCTGTGCAATAGCCACATAGAGTGGCTTGCTTTCGATCATTTTACCGCTCAACTGTGACATCTGTACAGTATTCCACTGTTACTAACAATCAAAGTGCCTTTCCTCACACATACAATCACAAGAAAATACAACTGACTTACAGCTTCGGTTGCTTCTTCGGGAGTTGAGAAAGCAACAAAACCTGAGCCTTTGCTTGTTCCATTAGGATCCCGCATTACCTGTCAAATTTAATGAAAGAGCTTCTTAAATAATGATTATAGAGAGTCAACTCACTACAGATAAAAAGAGAGAGGGCTATTGGACCTTGCAAGATGTAACGGTACCAAAAGGAGAAAAGATCTCTTTAAGCTTCTCATCTGAAATGCTAGGATCCAAATTCTTCACATACAAGTTTGAACTTTGAAACTTGTCTGCAGCTTCCTTCAAATTCTGTTCATAACGGACCCTTAATTCTGTTTCCCTCTCCGACTTCTTCTGGGCTCTACCAACATACCACTCCTTATCATCAAATTTGTGCCCATTGAGAGACTCCACAGCCCTAGCAGCATCATCCGCATTTTCAAAGTTAACAAACCCAAAGCCCTTAGACTTCCCATCTCCATCTTTCATCACCACAGCACTTGTTATCTTTCCATACTCGCCAAAAGCGTTCTTTAAGTCATCATCGGTAGTACTTTCCGCGAGATTCTTCACATACACATTGGTGAATTTCGTTTTGTTAGCAGTGGAGTCTCTTTCTTGTCTCCTCAGGAAAGGACCCACATACACTTGCTTGTCATTGAGCAACATGCCGTTCAGTTTCTCTATAGCTTTCTGGGCAGATTCTTCATTGGCGTATTGCACAAACCCATAGCCTTTTGATTGGCCTGAAGAATCAACAGCTACCTTGCACGACACAATGTTTCCGAACACTGAAAAAGTATCATGCAGTGCTTTGTGGTCGATGGACTCGTCCAAATTCTGCATATTTATAGCCAGATTTAGCAGAGAAAGAACACCCAAAAAAACGTACACAACTAAAGAAATCAACTACTTTTGCCACACTTTTCAATGGGATAATACAAGACACAATTTTTATCCTAACAATCATCTTATCTTACAGCAACTCAAATGTCAGAAGGATACAGACAAGAGTACCTTGATGAAAATGTTCCCAGCGCCACTTCGGCGAACACTAGGATCACGATGAGAATACATAACCCTAATAGGTTTTCCATAAAGAGGTATGTAATTCAGTTCTTGGATCGCTCTGGCAGCTGCAACAAAGACACGAGATAAAGTACCCTTAGAAGATAAGAAGTACGCATGAGAAAGATTGATTAAGCAGGGGATAATTTTTCCAACAGAGTCAACCACATTGCATATATACAAACACCATAAAGTATCAACATTTAAAACACATCCCATTCAAATCCAGTACTAGTACTATAGAGCAAACCCTAAAAATTGGAAATTTTTTGATTGTAAGAAGAAGTCCAAAATTAAGGAGACTAACCGTCTTGAGGATTGGTGAAGTTAACGTATCCATAGCCAAGGGATCGGCGAGTGGCCAAATCCCTACAGACACGAACGGAGACCACTGGACCCATTTGGCTAAACGCATCGAAGAGCTGCGAGTCCGTCACATTGACATCGAGATCCCCCACATAAAGCGACGTGGTACCAAACCCGGCCGCCGTTGCTCCACCTGACGTCACCGGAGCAGAAGTGACCGCCACGGTGGAACCATTCGGAGTCTGACCCTGAAGTTGAACCTGCGCCATTCTCTCTTTTTTTTTTTGGATTTTCGAAACTTTTTTGACTTTTTTTTGGGGTTTTAGTTACTCTTCCCTCCCCTCTCGTTATTAGACTGAAACCAAATCGAAAACCCTAGAATTGGAAGAAGAAAAGAAATCGAATCGGAAGACAAAATCAACAAAACCTAAGCGAAAGTTTTAGTTTTTTCGTTTTTTTAGTGCGGCTGTTTTTTATGTTTTTTTTGGGTATATCAGAGGAGAGGGAAGATGAAATAGGGTAAGAAATTGCCGGCGGCGAAGCCTGCGACGGCGAGTGAGATATTTGGGGGCGAGAGATTCTAGCGAAACAAGGACAATTACGAAAGATGAAAGAGAAGCATTACGGTTTTTTCTATATTCTGCTTTTATAATTTTTTTTTAATTTCCCTAGAAGAGAACCCTAGGAGGAGTGTTGATGTGAGGGAAGATCTCAGCCGTTGGATTGAATCGAAAGATTGATTTTAGAGTTGGTTGATGATAATTGATAAGGTCGTCTTCCTCCTCGTCACTTTCGGAAAAGTCAAACAGATGCGCGCGTGTGTGGCACCTTCGAATATTTTGCTAATTAAAATCTTATTAGTAACCAAGTTACTTCCTAAAGTAAATTGCTAATATATACTATACTCTAAATTCATTGGCAACATACCGCACGATTTCATATGGTATGCACAAAGTATCTTAATTATATAACTACCAATATATATGTTAGGATTTGACTTGTAAAAACAATTCAAATTAATACACGATTGGTCTTCCAGTAGAATTGTAACACGAAAGAACATAAAAATGAGGGAGAGATTTTCCAATACCCAATCTTTTCCAAAAGAATAACAAAACAAACACACAAGGAATATACACAGAAAGGAAAAAAAGGATCAACGGATACACATAGACTAATAAATCTTTCCAAGCGTAAGTCAAAACGACTCTCAGTGAACAGTTTCCGATTAAGTTTGACAAATGACTATTTTCTCTGTCTAAACTTCTTGTTGGATTGCACGTCTGAGGCTCTGAACCTAATTCAATTATAACCATCTCCCTCACGTCCTATCAAGACACCACCTCCTGCATCCTCACTTCTGGTTTTGATTAGCCAAAGCAGATTCCCCAAAGTTATGGAGTCTCCGACCAATGAGATAACGGTCATCACGGATGGAGTTGTGAAGGTTTCTGAACCAGAAGCAGAAGAAGATCACCGAGAGACAGCCTATCCATGTGAATCTGTAGACCGCCGAGTTCACTACTAGCGGATAGCCGAGCATTGGAAACACGCCTCTCGCCAGGACATAAGGCACGCATAAAGCTGTTAGGAGTTTCATCACAATCGGGAACACAATCTCTCCAAGTACCCATAACCCTTGAAGCCTTGTGAAGCCATCTTCTCTTACCCTCTCAAACTTTGCTCTCCAGCTATCATCCACTATAGGAAGCATATGGTCCAGCATTACCTGCCCAATGACGTTGTTTTTTAGTGACAAAATATCGTCTTATGTGGCAAAAATTGCTGATTTGAAGAAAATTACTTACCAGTCTAGTCCAGATCTTCAAAAAGATGAGCCCAAGAGCCCAGTCTTGGTACAGGAGGAAGACAGGGCTTTCATCAACTGGGACTCTCATTGGGACAATAACCAAAAGCTCAAACAGAAGTCCAATTAGCACCGGAATGATAAAAACCTGTTTAATCACCATTTTAAAAGCACAGAATCCAGAATTAGTAGAGTTTGGAGTATCTCAAAAATTGAAAATATAACAGTACAAACCACTTACCCATATGGCTAACAGCACCGAGCTCTTGGAAACAATCTCACACCATTTCCATATTTGGTTAAGCAAGACTGAAGTCCTCTTCGACTTGACATGCTCAATAGCGTACGTGGCCCCAGATATGGTAGTCCACAAGGCATATGTGCCAATGACAAAAGCATACAGGTCTACAGATTTAGGAAATTCTGTTAGTAATGTTTATAATGTGTAACCGTTAGAGAGAATGACTCAGAAGATAAAAAATTATAGACATTACCATTGCATTTGATGCCATGAGTTGTTGGGAGAATTGGGATGACACTGAATAGAGTACGTCCAACCGAAACTGGTACAACTATCAATGCCGAATTGAAGAGAAGAAGAGTCACCCATGCAACAAGTAGGAGGATTATCCGGACCACAAAGTTGTACCTGCTAAAAAATTACATTCATTTCCGGGGAAGACCTAATGAAAACTTTTATGTACCTAGTCAACTATATACCAAGCGAACACTCCTTTTAATTACTACAAGCATGCAAATATTAGAAGCATCAAAACAAGCTATTATCTTATTTCTTAAGTAATAACTTACTCTGAATCAGATTGTTTTTCATCATCTTCATATTCCTCACCCGTGTTGACACTCCCAGCACATAGGCGACTTCTGTTAGGGTCACCAGCTGCTGGAAGAACAGCCATGGGCCTATCTGGTCTACCGACCTGCAATACTTGTACTCTGTTCTGCCTTCCTGGTTCACCGTTTCCATTGTCCTGACCAATGTTGTCCTCTGGTCTTGGCAAGAGGAAGTCTGTCAAACCAAGCGCCCAACCAACACCAGTGAACCAGTAACGTAGAAGGGACTTAATTGAGGTCTGGAATCTGAAATGTTTGATAACAAATGGTATGCATATTTGTAACAGAAGCATGTCGGCTGGAATCTCAGTGAATGGGTCGGATACACTGCATAGATGCACAAGTTAGGAAAGACCTCAAACACAAAATCTCCAAAAACAAGAGGTTAGTCAATATTTCTTACGATATGTCGAGTGGAAAGATTGAAGGAGCCATCCGGATCGCAAGTTTGACTGGCAAAAATACCAGCATGACAATCAAACTTCCATACACTGCAGTTTCTAACAGAACCTTCCGAGCTTGCTTGTGTACTGGATCATCAATCATATCTTGGAACGGATCGACATTAGGATCTTCAAGATAATCAAGGAAATACAAAACTCCAGGTCGAAGAACCTGCAATTGGCACAGAAGTGAAAAAATATTAGGTAGTACAGAGAAAAAACTGTTTCCATAATGAAATTATGATCAAGGAAAACACAGTACCTCTCGAAGAAGGCTTTCGAAGATCATTGTAAACATGAGGTACATGAATCCAACAACCCAATGAAGAAGTGAGCTTACCAATGGAGAAGTTGATAAAAACTGTACTCTGTGGGACATTGTTTTACCAAACATCCCAACCGTGCAAATATCTAGCGACCACCCACACATCAGAGGGAAGACCCCTAAGAAGTAGACATAAAAACAGGTAGCTTTGAGCATAGTCATCAGATGCCTCATTGCTGCCGAGAACTGTTTAAGGAGGGATGATACAGCTTCTTCTTCACCATCAGCGTCGTCCAAACCATGAAAACTCTGTTCAACCTGAGCCTCGATACGAACTGCTTGTATGCCCAACCTTTCAAGAACATTTTCAGGGTTCCTATTAACAATCTGACCAACCGCAGCACCCTGATCCCCAGCATCTTCGCAATTCTCCTCTCCCGCAAGATTCCTATTAGCCTGTCCAGCAGGTCTTCTGACAGCACGAGCACCATTTCTGTCCACTTCATCGTCTCTCTCTTCTTGCCCCCTTAGCTCTCGCAAACGCCTAAAGATCACCTTTAGTATAATTACTCCAAAGTAAAAGAAGTAAATTGTTGCCGACAGTAAGAACCCATGCAAACAATCAGTGAGAATTACTGTGGTGGAGATGTGACTTAAGAACAACCGCTGAGCTTCACCAAAACTCCGTACAAAAGCCAATCGCCATACCCAAAATGTGATATAAGGAATAGTGATAAACCAGGCCGAAATCAGGAAGCTCAACCGCAGAAAGAAGTGTAAAACACCGAAAAGTTTCGTGGCAATGGCAACTACAAACTCCTGGAAAGGGAGCCTTGTTGGAGCATTTTCAGCATACACTGGGGAGAATGAAAAAGGATGTTTGCAAACCTGCAGAGATATAGTGAGCAATAAGCTTCAATCACTCTATTAAACTCAAATAATCTGGATTCATGAACTCCAATAATAAGGATGAGTTCCATTCTAGGTAAAACTACGACCTATAAGAAACATTTATAGAAAGAGCACTTCAAACTCTGCAATATAGTCTTATTGAAGCTCACTACCTATGACCAAATCGTAGAGAGACAAACTGAGAAGGTTACCTAAAACCATAAAAAAAACACAGATAAAGCAAATCTTCTATAAGGGAGAGACAAAACCTCGCAGTGACGAGCTTTGCAGTGATTAAGCCACTGAAGGAGGCAATCCTGGTGAACAAATTTGATGCTCCCGCGGCAGGTGCACGGATACCGAAGCGGATTGTCCGTATCCCCAGGAATTCTGCAAATCCTGCACAAGTCCTCCTCATCTTCAACTGCCACCGTAGCAAATGCGTGATCCATGGTGGAGAAAGCGGTGGAAGAGGCCTGATTCGGCGACGAAGCAGACAGGCGCGAGGAGGATGACGAAGAAGATACCGAAGGCTCCGAGACGACCTCAGAGGCGGTTGCGCCAGAGATGGACAACGATTCGGCGGAGGAAATCTCCATGGAGAACTAGGAACAACGTAGCGAGCTTCAACTCGGTGCAGCGAGTCAACTCAGTGACTCGGATTACGCCGACCCACGGTGATATTGAGGAGAAGGGTCACACTAAGCTCCCGCCAATTCACAACGCCGAGCTAAAAGGGTCGGTCTATCGCAGTTTATTGTTATCCGACTAAATTGATTATATGGTAGGACTAGACCGGGACTTGTAAACCGGTAATTGACGAAATTAATTTTGGTTAATAATAGCCTAAGTTCATCACTAATGTTCATAAATTATCTTTTTCTGTGTTCCTCTTATTTTTATATCGTTGGAAAAGAAAAAACCAAAACAATATCAATGAATATGATCACACATCGCCAAATAAATCTTCAAATTAAAGACTTACGTGCACTAACATAAGAGGTAAGAATTTGCAATTCGCGATGGTTATAATAGAAACACACAAGGCATACATATGGACAAACGAAGCATTATTCTAAAGATGTTTTAGTTTAGTACACAAAGAAAAAGAAGAGAATCATCAACGGATATAATAATTTACACATCGACTAATAAAATAAAATCTTTCAAAGCCATCTCTTAACGGCTTAAGTACACAACTGTTAAACGCCTCAGTGCACAGTTTCCAACTGAGTTTGACAAAATACCTAAGCTTCTTGTTGGATTGCACGTCTGAGCCTAAGTCCATTATCAACATCTCCCTCACGTCCTATCAGGACACCATCTCCTGCATCCTCACTACTTTGGTTTTGGTTTTGATTTGCCAAAGCAGCTTCCCCAAAGTTATGCAGTCTCCGACCAATGAGATAACGGTCATCACGGATAGAGTTGTGAAGGTTTCTGAACCAGACATGGCATCTTTTTGCACAGAAGCAAAAGAGGCTCACTGAGAGACAACCTATCCATGCGTATCTGTAGACCGCTGAGTTCACTACTAGCGGATATCCGAGCATTGGGAACACTCCTCTCGCCAGGACATAAGGCACACATAAAGCCGTTAGGAGTTTCATCACGATCGGAAACACAATCTCTCTAAGTACCCATAACCCTTGAAGCCTCGAGAAGCCATCTTCTCTTACCCGCTCAAACTTTGCTCTCCAGCTATCATCCACTATTGGAAGCATATGATCCAGCATTACCTGTCCATTGACGTTGCTTTTTAGTGACAAAATATCTTCTTAAGCGGGAAAAGTATTTGATTTTTGGAGAAAATTACTTACCAGTCTAGTCCAGATCTTCAAAAAGATGAGCCCAAGAGCCCAGTCTTGATACAGGAGGAAGACAGGGCTTTCATCAACTGGGACTCTCATTGGGACAATAACCAAAAGCTCAAACAGAAGTCCAATTAGCACCGGAATGATAAAAACCTGTTTAATCACCATTTTAAAAGCACAGAGTCCAGAATTAGTAGAGTTTGGAGTATCTCAAAAATTGAAAATATAACAGCAAAAACCACTTACCCATATGGCTAACAGCACCGAGCTCTTGAAAACAATCCCACACCATTTCCATATTTGGTTAAGCAAGACTGAAGTCCTCTTTGACTTGACATGCTCAATAGCATACCTGGCCCCAGATATGGTAGTCCAAAAGGCATATGTACCAATGACGAAAGCATACAGGTCTACATATTTTTAAGGGATTCTGTTAATAATGAGTAACCGTGTGAAAGAATGACGCAGAAGATCAAAATTAACAAACATTACCATTGCATTTGATGCCATGAGTTATTGGAAGAATTGGGATGGCACTGAATAGAGCACGTCCAAGCGAAACTGGTACAACTATCAATGCTGAATTGAAGAGAAGAAGAGTCACCCATGCAACAAGTAGAAGGAGGATTATTCTGACGACAAAGTTGTACCTGCTAAGAAAATACGTTCATATCAGGGGAAGACCTAATGGAAATCTTGACATACTTAGTCAAGTCTATATACCAAGCGAACAGTCCTGTTAATTAGTTCAAGCATGCAAAAAAATCTTACTATCAAAAAAGATTTTAGCTTATTTCGTAAGTAAGAACTTACTCTGAATCAGATTGTTCTTCATCATCTTCATATTCCTCACCCGTGTTGACATTCCCAGCACGGAGGCGACTTCTGTTAGGGTCATCAGCTACTGGGAGCGCAGCCATGGCCATGTCAGGTCCTCCCACCTGCAATACTTGTGCTCTGTTCTGCCTTCCTGGTTCACCATTTCCATTGTCCTGACCAATGTTGTCCTCTGGTCTTGGCAAGAGGAAGTCTGTCAAACCAAGTGCCCAGCCAACACCAGTGAACCAGCAGCGTAGAAGGGACTTAATTGTGGTCCGAAGTCTGAAATGCTCGATGATAAATGGAATGCATATTTGAAACAGAAGCATGTCGGCCGGAATCTCAGTGAATGGGTCGGATACACTGCATAGATGCATAAGTTAGGAAAGACCTCAAACACAAAATCTCCAAAAACAAGAGGTTAGTCAATATTTCTTACGATATGTCGAGTGGAAAGATTGAAGGAGCCATCCGGATCGCAAGTTTGACTGGTAAAAATACCAGCATGACAATCAAACTTCCATACACTGCAACAGATAACAGTACTCTACGAGCATGCTTGTGCACTGGATCATCGATCAAATCTCGGAATGGATTGTAATTAGGATCTGCTGGATCACGAAGGAAATACAGAACTCCAGGGCGCAGAACCTGCAATTGTCACAAAGTGGAAAGAAATATTTAGATAGTAGCAGCGAAAAAACTATTTCTAGAATGATATTATGAGAAGGGACAACACAGTACCCCTCGTAGAAGGCTGACGAAGATGCTTATTTGCAACATGTACATGATACCAACAACCCAATGAACAAGTGAGCTTGCCAGTGGAGAAATTGATAAAAACTGTACTCTGTGGGACATTGTTTTACCAAACATCCTAACGGTGCAAACATCTAGCCACCACCCACACATCAGAGGAAAGACCCCAAGCTCGATGACCAAAAGAAAGGCAACTTTGATCATTGTCATCAGATGCCTCATTGCTGCCAAGAACTGTCTAAGGAGGGATGGTACAGCTTCTACTATAGATGCAATACCATAAAATCTTCCAACGGTCAGTGGCTCACCCTTGGCATATCGAATCAGTGCAATGATCCCCAGGTAAAGGAACACCAGAAATACTATAAACATGTACCCAACAGCCAGAGTTGTAATATCAGATAGCTTTGAGGCCCCAACAGCAGAACCTTTCAGGAGATCAGTAGCAACCGATAGCGTATTGTTTGCTCCATTCAATTCACTTCCGTTGACTTTCATCATCTCAGTGAGCTGGCCAAGTAGCCCATTTTCTTGGCCTTCGTTAGTCAAATTTGAGACAGCAGTCAGCGCACTCTTCAGAGTAATATTTTCCAATGAGAGTCCGGTATCCATAAGATGCAATGATGCAGTCACAGCAGGGCCTCTAGCAGCAGCAAAAAGCCATGACACGTGATACAATATAACTCGTCCTAAGGTAAAGGGCACGAAGATCACAACACCAAGGAATATCATATTGCTTGCTAGAACCTGCAAAATTATGCAAATCATGAAGATTTAATAAGGGCCAATAGTGAAGAAGAAGGAAAATAGAATTTAAAATATACATCACCAAGAGTAGAAACATCAACTTACAGTAAAGGCATTCTCAACCAAATGAAACACTGGACCTTGCATTCCAACCAGCTCATCAAATGGAACGTCTTCTGCACCATCAGCGTCATCCAACCCATCAAACATCTGTTCAACCTGAGCCTCAAGACGAGCTGCTTGTATGTCCAACCTTGCCAGAACATTTTCAGGATTCCTTCTAACAATCTGACCAGCAGCAGCACCTTGATCCCCAGCATCTTCACCATTCCCCTCTCCGGCAAGATTCCTATTAGCCTGTCCAGCAGGTCTTCTTGCAGCACGAGCACCATTTCTGTCCCCATCATCTTCTCTCTCTTCTTGTCCCCCAAGCTCTCTTAAATGCCTAAAGTAGTCCCTTAATGAAGTAGCTCCAAGGAAGATGAAGACAATACTTGCAGATAGTAAGAACCCATGCAAGCAATCGGTGAGAATTACTGTGGTGGAGATGTGACTTAAGAACAACCTCTGAGCTTCACCAAAACTTCGCACGAAAGCCAATCGCCATATCCAAAATGTAATGAAAGGTATAGTGAGAAGCCAGACAGAAAGCACAAAACTTAACCGCAGAAAGAACTGTAAAACATGGCAAGCTTTCATAGCAATGCCAACTACAAACTCCTGGAAAGGGAGCCTTGACGGAGCATTGTCAGCATACACTGGGGAGAATGAAAAAGGATGCTTGCAAACCTGCAGAGATGAAATTAACAATAAGCACGTGTTCACTTCTATGTAGAACTCCTACTGAAGAAACACAAATAAAAAGAGAACACTTTAAACTGTCAAAGTTGACTATGAGCACACAGAATCGAATGCAATTGCCCATTCATTTACCTAAACTCTCAAACCATCTAGAAGAATCAGAAAATTGAAAAAAGGTTGACCCATATCAAAATTCCTAAAAGGCATCCAAATCAACACGAATCCAGATCTTAATAAAAATCTGAAATCTGCAAAATCCAACAATCAATAACAAAGAGGAAAAGAAACAAAACCTCGCATTGACGAGCGTTGCTGTGATTAAGCCACTGAAGGAGGCAATCCTGGTGAACAAACTTGATGCTTCCGCTACAGGCACACGGATACCGAAGCGGATTATCCGCATCACCAGGATTTCTGCAGATCCTGCACACGTCCTCCTCATCTTCGTCATCATCAACGTACCTCGACCCTGTCGCCGTCGCAACTGCGGGATCCATGGTTGAGAAAGGATTGGGGGAGGCCTGATTCGGCGACGAAGAGGAAGAAGAAGAAGATACGGAAGGCTCAGATACGACCTCAGAAGCGGCCGCGCCAGAGATGGACAACGATTCTGCCGAGGAAATCTCCATAGAGAAATCCGGGCTATGAATTACGTATTGCGCAGACGGTGGTGACGGAGACGGCGGCGGCGGAGCGAGTCGACTCGATGAGTCTGATAACGCCGAGCTAAGAGGAAAGGCGTCGTCTATCGCGAATAACTATTATCCTCGAGAATAAAAGAAAATATCGGAAAAAAAAAACGAAGACACCGAGAAAATTGATTATATGGTAGGCCCAACCGGGTCTTGTAAACCGGTAGTTGACGACATTGACCTTCCCTCTTGCACAATTAATGACGGTTTTTGTCGGTTACGCGTTTTTTAGTCATTGGGTTTGGGCCTTAAATTGTAACAGCCTAAAGCCCATCTCTCTTTTCTTTTCTTTTTTTTTTCTGAATGAGAAACAAAATCAATGGCTATCTTTTGCTGCTTGCTACTGCAGAATTACGAAAAATCTGTGAGGTTGAGGAAGCAGAGAGTGAAGAGAAAGATAGAGAGATAAGAAGCCATGGGTTCGATTTCGCTGCACATAACTCCTTCTACTACTCTCCCTTTACGCCATTTCAAAGCTAGAGTCTCTTGTTTCTCTTCTGGTAGTTTCTTTTTTTCCTCTGTTTGTGGGAATTGCATGTCATTGTAGAATTATACAACTGGTCGATTGTGTTTGATGGGTTTTTAAATCGAGACAATGCTTGAGCTTATCTCTTTGTTGATTATTTTAGAACCATCTTTTGTAGGAAAATGCAGTGACTGTCTTTTTAATTATTGCTCGGTGGAGACAACAAATTAACTAAAGAATGTGTAATAATTCTCTAAAGACACACATTTGGGATTGAGTTGTTGTGTAGGGCATGTATCATTTATCAAAGATGTAGCTGCCACTGAACCTCCAATGCATCTTCATCACTTACTCAAAGTGCTTCAAACAAGAGGTAAAATAATGCTCAATTTTGTTCCTCGTTTGTGTCCAGACTTAGATATTTGTTTCTTTATATATGGTTTCGGATAGAACAGATATGCAAGTTCTGGTTACTAATTCCCTGTTATAACATATGTGAAATTTGGTATTCTGGATTTGTAATAATGGAAGAAGGGAAAATGATGGATCTTAGAGTCTTAGGTGTTTTCATATTTCATCTGCAGGTGAAACTATTATATCTCCTGGAGCTAAGCAGGGACTGATCCCTCTTGCTATTCCGCTTTCGAAGAATTCTTCAGGTAAGTCCACACATTTGATTGAATCCATTAGCTTTTTCCAGCAGCTTGTGTTTAGTTTTGTTTTTTCTGGTTTATTGTCTAAGTAGGCTCTGTTACTGCGCTTTTGAGATGGCCTACTGCTCCACCAGGGTAAGAGATTTGGATCTCTTTCTTGGTAACTCTTGCAGTAGTAAATATATGTTGTTGGATTATTCCTGATTTTGACTTCTTGTATTCGAAAACAGAATGGATATGCCGGTTGTGGAAGTTTGGAGGAGTGGAGTCCGGCTTATTGCTAGAAACGTAAAGACTTTTCATTCTAGTTATACGTAGCCTATCTTTTTAAGAGGATTTATGTCTTTGTGTGTTACCAAGAAGCAATTTTACAGTTTCTGATATTTAGGTAGATGAATACATTCACCGGATTCTAGTTGAAGAAGATGCACAGGAGTTGACAGAACTATATCGTGCTTCAGAAGAGGCAGGTGAAAAACTTTACAAAAAGGGTGCTTTTGCTGAATCTCAAATTGACAATCTCGATGTCTATGTCTTGAAAAAGGCAAGACTTAAAAACCCAGTACTTATAGATCAAAGGCCTTATGTACACCACAGTAAACAGTATTTGTTTTTGTTTTGTATCGTATAGGTTGGACTCTTTCCAGATTTGTTGGAGCGAAAAGTATTAAGACATTTTGATGAAGGAGATCATGTAAGAGTTTTTTATGCATATGATTTCATATCCTATAATCGTGAATCTCCCTTATGTGAAACTTTTTATAAGACATTTTCTTTATTATTCATGGAAGGTATCAGCTATGGTGACAGGAGAATTTTACACAAAGAAAGACCTCTTTCCAGGATTTGGACGACCTTTTGTATATTATGCAAATATACTGCAGAAGTTTGTAAACTTTACATACTTATAACACATCTCATTATTTTCGTAGAGAAAGATGTACTCACTTGTCTTAGGATTTTTATTTGCAGGGTAGGGCGGAATTCAGAAGCAAAGGACGCAGCTAGAGTAGCATTGAAATCACCTTGGTGGACATTAGGATGTCCTTATGAGGCATGACTAAAGTCATTTTTGTTATTCTTTTTCGGGTGTACTGAGTTTTAAAGCATAGAGATTTTTCATGGTCATGGTATCTTGAAAACATGCAGGAGGTTGCTAGTATAGCACAATGGGAGGACGAGCAGATCGAATTCATAAGGGAAAAGGTGAGTGATGAAGGTCGTTTTGAAGATTTAAAGAAAGGCAAAGCTCCAATCCAAGTTGCGTTGGATGTTGCGGCTTTTCTCTTGGATTTGGCTTCTATTGAAGGAACTTGGTCCGAATCTTTAAACCATATTGCTAAATGTTACGAGGAAGCTGGATTACACCATATATCTAATTTCGTTTTGTACACAGATTAAATTTAGATTAAATGAAAACCACTTTTATGCAAGAATTATAATGTACATGCATTTAAATAAAAAACAATGAATTTACTCGTTCGTTGAACCATGTTATCGTTTAAATGTTTTACTAAACTAGACCCAAAAAAAAAAAAAAAAAAACTATATATCATCATTCATAAACTTTGGCCCTCTCTCATCAGGTGGAGTGTGTAGTCGTCGAACAAGTTCTTTTGGATATCGTTGCTTTCGATCAAATGCTCTCATACATAAAAACCCTGCACATCACCAGACAACATTCAACAATTATTTTAATTTCATAATTCAACCATTTTTTAATATAAATTTATGTTTGTTACCCGTCCAAAAGCAAAGTTGAATCCGTCTTGTATCTAAAAATCGAAAAATGGATGTCACTGATGAACCACAATATAGTGCACGTTTTTCTAGTCCGTCACACAACTCTCTAGGAAAGACAATGGGTTTTAAACTCGTCTCATGATCAGCAAAAACCTGAAAAAATAAACCCTTGCAATTTCTTTAAAACTATTAAGTAAAAACTCATATATAATATTATAAGTAAAAACGCTTGCCTCATTGGTTTGGAAGTATGTTCCATTAAGTGGAAAACCCGCTCGCATTGCTGTTCTACATGGAATCTGGTCAATTGAATTCATGTAAGTTTCAAGTCACCTATGTTAAAATATCAAGTTGTAAATTCTGCATACCAAAATTGTTCCGCGAAAAGTGTTGGAACTTTGTTCTCGTATAGTCCAACAATACGAACAACTCTTTATCTTGCAAAGCTTTGATCCATCAGAATTGCACTTTTTCTTTGGTGGAATGAACGAGGATGACGTTTCACCTAAAAATTATTCGATACAAAATTAGCTTATATTTATGTGAACAACGATAAATTATGCTTATATTATACCTGGTTGCCAAATCGCAAGAAGGTAAGGACTCGGATCATCAAGTTCTCTTCTCTCAAACTACATAATATAAGTAGTAAAACCAAAAGCATTTTCTAAGAAATAATACAAAACAGTTGCATTATTTTTTGCAGTTTAAAGTATATGTATACTTACATCGTGGAGCAGCTCATGATTATCAGGAAGCACATAACTGCAAAACAAACAAATATTAGATTATATATTCCCAAAATATGCATCAAAGTATGGTATAATGAGTATATACATAGATACTTACACCACATGTTCAGTTCTTAGTCGATCATAATACTTCATTTTTCGAGGCGGCTTGATTGGAATGCATGCATTTTCAGGAGTGAGAACCACTAATGCTTTTGATATTTCTTCATCAGAACTGCTCAACATCCTACCACCTTTTACAAGTGCATCTTCTACATTTTTCTTCAATGCATCCATGTCAAAATCAATTTTAGGAACTCTAGCATATAGCTGATAAGGATTTATGAATGGAATATCTTCAATGTCTGTTGACTCGGGAATTTCCGCTCTAGGAGAAGAAGGAAACTCAACCAGTGGCTTACAACATATAGCTTGATCGCTACATCCAGGAGAAACACATTCTTCTATCAAATTTATATTTGATGTCATATCTACATCAGCGTCTTGAGAATATGCATTCATAAAAGTATCAGGCTCATGCATCTTTTCTTCTGGACCCTCGAGAAGAACCTTTGAACTAAAAAAACACATAATATGTCAATTTCAGTCATTCTAACATTAATATATATGGACAAAAACTAAAAAAAAAAAAATTTGAAATCGCTTTTGCTCCCAATTTTTAGAGATTTATTGTACGATGTAGCTGAGAAGTTTGACTTTTTAAAGTAGCAATTATTTTTGTGTTTATTCTTGGATTTTTCTTTAATATTTATGAAATTAACAAATTAAGTGATCTAATCTATGTAATCAAAGTAAGAAAGAGAAAGAAAGAACAAATTTGTACCTGACATATGCACTTGCAAAATATTTGCATTCTGACTTCATCGGACATGCATTACAGTTAGGAATAACTTTTGTGCAAAAAACCTAAATTTGACAAAATTTGGTTAAACTAGTAATCTTTTTTAATTAATTGATTGACGTATATATATTATTGTGTGTACCTTTCCAAATGTTATCATCTGATAATGTAGTTCATATCTGTAAAAAAATGTAACATAAAATTAAGCAATACGTGTTCATATGGCCTGAAAATAGTTGACTTCTTAAATTGAGGAAACACATTTGAACTTACAAAATTTCTTGAGGAAGTTTACACAATCGTGGCCAGAGGTATTTTTGAATTGAATCCATTGAAGGGTACCTGAAACGAGTTCGTTTTTATAGATAGGAGATAGTTGTTAGTAAAAGTATAATGTATTTTCTTAATCAAATTTATGAGGAAACATAACTGGAATAGTTGATGCATTTGAACTCCATTTGGTAAAGGTTCAAGAGGAACCCAACCAAGTCGAACTGCTATACGACCAACATTTGTGTCAACCTATACACATTAAAAACATGGGTTTTATTAGTAAGAAATAATTAGTAAATGTTAAAATTAAAAATCATAATATTATTTTTATACCGGAAACGCATGGTGTTTAAGTCCTAACAGCCGTACGCACTCAGCACTCTTCAGTCCTATCCCTTCAATCTCCAACAGATATCTCCTGATAAAACAAAACAAAATTTTTTATGATCGCTTACAAATAATGAGATCTATGAGAACATAAAAACCAACATAAACATACTTCACTAAATCTGATGGAGCATTTCGGAGCCATTCAAGATCAAGAGTTCCATTATGTTGAACTTCATCGTTGAGAAATTTCTTGAGAAAACAAGAAAAATTTGTGTTAGTCTTAAATCATTAGAGTAATTTATTCACAAAGTTCATGAGAAGTTTTGTTTTTCTTACCAAAATTCTTTCTGAAAGAATCCTGAATTGTCCGCGTCTTCTGATGGTGGTTTCAAAAACTTTTTGGCCAGATAATCTCACATCACTCCAATTAACAGAGTCCATATGCATTTTGGGACGAGATCCTTCTTTTGTGTACATCTTCCTAAGAGTCTTCCAGTCAACTGTCTCATCTTCCATAATACCGGTTTTCTCGTTTTTCCTTTTTGCAGTGTTCTCATGTTCTTCTACCTCTGGTATCGACTCATCAGATAAAGTGATAAACTCAGAACTTTTAGCATCATTGTTTCCTATATGGGTTGGTCTTTGGCCATCAACAACTAAGTCATTAACATCTTGAGGTTCCTCAATGTAGTATGCTAGACTTTCTAAACCTTCTCTTGCATCCACAGGAAATTTTGCAGCCACACTCATAAAAGCGTTGCTGTAGAAAATCAAAGTGACCATATGTTATCTCAAGTAGTTTTCAATTTTCTTACCAATTTAAACTGAGATTTTACCTTGAAAGATAGTCGGTTACATTTTGTGTCAGAAAAACTCCAACCACTGAGTCAACAACCGAGCCTTTCCACTGCTTAAATTTTCTATTACCTGCAAGATAATCACTAATAACATTCATGGAAGGAAACATAATTTCAATTAAGTAATGATCATATACTTAATTTACTCACTTAAACTTGGATTCCTTATAGATGTAGTATATACACGTGTAAGTTTATTCAGGTAAATAATAATAATAATAATAGTTTACCTTGTAAAAGATGCATCCGGTTAATGAAAAGATCTATCCGACTTTGGAAAATCTCTCTTTCTTTTTTCCATTTGGCCTCTGTCTCCTTGTCAGCATATGATCTACTTGGAAGATCATTCACCATTAAGAGCTCCCACTCTTTAATGGTCTCTGGATCAAGACTCACCTTTGCAGTAACAAGTTTTTTGGCAGATTTGATCATCGTTGTTACCCTTTTATTGATCTTTAATCTTCCCATTTCTTTGATTAACTTAGCAATATCCTTCGTCTTCTTGATGGGTTGTTCTGGAAGTACAGAACTAGCCGATTTCATAAGTGTGTCTGCAAAAAAGTATACCAATGATAAAATATAAATATGCCATAAAGAAAAATATATTAACTAAATATATGACCACATTTTTAAGCAATGTCTTACAGAAAGAATAAAAATAAAACTTGATTACCTTCAATGTGCAAAGGAACATCTGCTAGAGAAGAGAGACTGTGATATTTCTGATAAGATATTTGTTGATTTAAATGCTCAACAATATTCTTAGTACTTTTCTTGTTTCGCTTTGAGACTACAGAACCAACATGTCTCGTGAGTGTATCTACAAAAAAAAAAAAAAAAAAAAAATACACAAATGAAAGTTAAGATATAAGCATAAACAATCTTTGACTTAAAAGATAAACTAAGAAAAAAAAACTTGATTACCTTCAATTGGCAAAGAAACATCTGCTCGTCCATCAGTTTTCTGATGCTTTACTATTAAAGGCAAGGTTTCTTCTATCTGTTCAGAAGACGAAGCAATTCTAGCCCATCTAACCACATTCTTCCTACGCATAGACCTTCTTGATTGCTTTTTCCAAATAGGCATAGGAAGTAATAAACAGTGGAAATCATATCTTCGTAGTGTGGTCATCCTCTGTCTCCCTTTTGGAAAAGTTGGTCCACAAATTCTGTCGAACTCAAGACAACTAAGAACAATTTCCTTCTTAAAGTTCAAAGTCCGAGCCACGTTTCTCTTAATCTTCTCGTTCTTTCTTCTTCTTGGAAGACTTTGCTTTTTTGGAGTTGCAGGCTCAGGTATAATTTCATCTTCACTGTCTATGTCCTTTTTCTTCCTCTTGTTGGATATAGTTCTCAGTCGAGTAGTGGCTGGATTCCTTGGTTTCTTCCCCTCTTCCAAGATACGTGGCCTGTTAAACCTCTGTTTTCTTGGTGTCCCTTTTAAATTCTTTCTCCTTCCTTTTCCAGTAACACGTTGTGAATCATCATCTTTCACCATGAAATAAAATAAAAATGGGTGGGTGAGTGGGTAATAATTAGTATATTGGGCAGGAGATACATTCACATATAAAATAATTTGAACTCTGAGATATAAATTGTAATGAATTTACAAATAAGCTAATTTTGAAAGAATGAAATCAAGATGACTTTACCTTGAAAAAGTTCTGATTCATCACGCTTTCTTTCATGATTTTCTTTTGAATTCTCCTTCTCGTCTTTCTGATGAGTGTTTTGTGGATCATCTGTTACCATCAAAAAAAAAAAAAAAAAAAAGAGAATTTAACTGAAATAAAACAACACGTGCATGATATATATTGCAGACAAGTAATGCATCCAAGGGATCCAGAATCAATGAACTCACTCAGGAACGTGACAGCAAAACACCATTAGTGTATTTTCACAATCTCTTATCCTCGAATCAAACTTTGTTTTTAAACCAAAACCAAAAATCGAAATTCTGAAAATTTTCTCAATCAATAAAATCTCAAACAGAAACATAACATCAGTTTTTGAACATGCTCATCAAGCTCGTTAAATGAAAGTGACGATGGTGAAATTGTTTAAAATTAGCGTGGAAAGAATGAGTCAAAAAAAACATCTGTTTGACTCTAGTCACTCAACTAATTTCTTTATAAAATTGTCACATACTCTCATAAAAAAAAAAGTAAAAGGAGAATTATAAAAAGAAAAAAAAAAAAAAAAAAGTAGATTATTTTTTTTTACCTTGAGGAAAAAAAAACTTCTCCTTACTCTCTTCTTCACCACGATCTTTGATTGCTTGAGGAGAAATTACTGAATCTTGTGGAAGCTTAATAGATTTCCTTCTCACGTAAAATTTCTCAAATTGTTTTGTTTTAACGGGTGTATCTGGAACAATCATGATAGAACTTTTGTCCGGATCTTTTGAAAGCTCCATTACTACATCAGAAAAAAAACAAATGAAATCTAAAACATATAACAAAAAAAAGAGATCAATTTTGAACAATTGAAACAAAGAATTTTACAGAAAAAACGAATTTGGGATTAAATACCAATCGAAGGTAAATTCTTCGAATAAAAAGAGAGATTATAAACGGCGTGACTGTCGAACAGAGTAGAGAAGAAAAAGGTATATGTCACGTGGTACTCAAACCTTTCCCCTTTTTTTGCGTAACACATTTTCCTTTTTATTAATAGAAGAAAATATCATCTTAGATATGATTAAGAGATATTAAATAATGTTTTTTTAATATTTAAAAAAATATTGAGTCGATTACGTTAACTAGAATTCTATACTAATTAAGAAAATGATAATTTTAATTAAACTACTAACCAGTTTTGATTATATCAAAACATAAATCAATTACACTATGAGATACCTGTTTTTTTTTTTTAATAACTTGGTTTTTTACGAATTGAATTCTAGTATTTAAAAATATACTAAAGTGGTGGAGCATTTCGTCGGCGTTATCTTTCTACGGCCAAATCTTTGTTTAGATTGAGTGAAATTTTTTCTGTTTAATCCTAATTTTTTGGACAATTCTTCAAATATTCTTTAGTGTTAGACTTATAGTCAGAATAATACGATTTATTATTTACTTTTGTGATTTGAAAATTAAATTTTGGCTTGTATCCTAACAAAAAAATTATAAAGTATTTTAAAACACTCTTCTAACGTAACCTCATTTTTTTTTTTTTAAATGTTATACTTTCAAATATGTGAAACTTCAATTAAGAAAAGTTTGTAAACCTGTATTCATCGACAAAAAAAATGTAAAGAACTTTAATGAATTTTCTGGAAATTTTACTAAATTCAGAATTTTGTGGTGATTTGTTGCTATAATTATGTTAACTACGAGTTAGATATGCGAACCAGTATATATAGATTACAATGAAAAGACTAAACACACCAACAAAACTAATACAAAGTATTTTTGTTTACGAATTTGGTCTTCAACTAATTTTTCCTTTGACTAGTGAAACTCCAAAGCAAAAGTATAGTCACACACAATTACTCTCATCTTTGCCCCTTTTAAGTTTTAAGTATCAGCTGAAACTACCTAACTGTGTTAGGAATTCTAATAAATTTTCAAAGACAGCTGACCTAAATGGCTAAATCTTCCTACTTTGTTCGTTTTTCTGTCAAATATTTTATTTGGTAATCTAGTATCAATTGACAGATACCAACAACAACTTTCAACAATTGAAGTCTATTAAGAAAACCTAATGATTATTTTTTCTCAATGTGGTCAAATAATTTTATCGACTTATATTGTTGTACTTCAGACACAATTTTTTTTTCTTTTTTTTGAGCAGACACAAATATTTTCTTTAGATGTTGTATCATGTAGAAAAACAAAAGAAAAGTAAGGTACATTATTTCTTTGTTCAGAAGAAAGCAAAACAAGGACAATGGAGAGAGATTACTTAACACAAATACATAAAAAGGTCCATTTTAGTGGTTGGTGGGCAGAAAATGGAAAGTAATCCACTGCGGACAAACTCAGAGTAGGGAGGAGTCAAATCCACCAAATCAACTGATCCGACGGCAGATAGTGATACCATCCCCAACAGGGAGCATACAGATCTCAATCCGAGGGTCAGCAGCAAGAGCCTTGTTAAGCTCAAGAACAAAGTCTCTGTAGTAACGAACGTACTTCCTCATTGGTGCATCAGGAGGAGCCACGACAGAACCATTCCACAGAGTGTTGTCGTAGCCAATCACTCCTCCAATTTTCACAAGATCGATCAAACGTTTGTGGTAGTTGATGTAGTTATCTTTGTCAGCATCAACGAATATAAAGTCATATGTTCCATGGTTCTTCTCCTGCACCCAACCACACACCATAATAAAATACCACTCCCTTCAAAGAAAAAAAATCTTTTTTTCCCTTATATGAAAAAGGAAACAAGTTTTATATACAGAAATTCCCATCAAGAATATTAAACCAACCTAATTAGGCCATAAGTTTTTTATTCAATCTTCATTTTTTTTTTCTTCCATTATCTTCATTTTTTTTTTGTTGCTAAATTACGTCAGAAAGAAGAATGCTTACGTCAGCAACGATTTCATCAAGAACGGGAAGAGCAGGGCCTTCCCTGAAATCGATCTTGTGAGCAACGCCGGCTTTCTCAATGATCGGCAAACCCAATTCGTAATTCTCTCTGTTAACATCCATAGCCAGAATCTGATGATAATAAGAATGAAACTTTCAATTCCCAAGTTTCACAAAAATAAAATAAAAAAAACAGAGGAGGAAGAGATTAATTTACTTTGCCGTCTTCAGGGAGAGCAAGAGCGGTGGCGAGAAGAGAGTAGCCAGTGTAAACTCCGATCTCCATTGTGTTCTTGGCGTTAACGAGCTTGATAAGCATGTTCAAGAACTGTCCTTCGTCTGCTGATGTTGTCATTATGTTCCTGTTTGATTGAGAATTTCAGAATTTCGATCTTGGTTTTTTTTTTTTATTAACAAAGTTTTGACATGAGAATTGGGAAAACAAACCAGGGATGTTTTGCTGTCACTTCTCTGAGTTCCTTCATTGATTCTGGTTCTCTAGGATACACACTTGTCTCCAGTATATACTGTATCGCTTTTTTCATTAAGATTTCGATTACTGAAATTGAATCGAAAAGCAGAGTTTTGAATGAGAAAAACAGACCTGGTAGAGATCATCGCTCTGTAAGAGACTCTTGTGACCAACTTCTTGATGTCGAAGATTTTGAGATTGCTTCTGATCTTCTCCATTGGTGGATGATGTCTTCGTTGCTTCTGTAGTTGTCGTCGCCATTTCTCTCTCTCTCTCTCTCTCTCTCTCTCTCTCTCTCTCTCTCTCTCTCTGTGTTTTTGTCTTCTTGGGTGAGATTAAACGATTGTGTTTTTCTTGGTGAGTCACACAGATGGCATGAGGTCTATATAAAGAAGGACATAATGAGTCCGGTTCGAACCGGTTCTGTTGAATCCGGTGAAACCCGGTCTGGGGTTGGTGAAACTCTCCTAACATGCAATTGGTCAGGCGCTGTCTTAAATGGGTCCCGTTACATTGTGTGGGACCTCAATCGCACTTGGGGTAGTAATGCCTCGATCGGGGAAAATCAAATTGAGACCAAACTCGGGGAAGTGGTTATGTTTTAATTTTAAAAAATTATTTGTGTGGTGTGAAGAAAACTGAAAACAAGTGAATTCGTTTTTCATTTATGAGTCACTGACTCAGTGTTAAATGTTTTTGCTGCCAAATTCTGTAGTATGATGTATTTATGTCTAGATTTAATAATGGGAATATGTATTTACTCCTATGGATATTTTTCTGAGATTAGACGATTACAAAAAGGGTGTGACGTAATGAGAAATTACACTGGATATGTAGTTGGCATATATTAAATAATTCAAATGTATAAAAAAAAAGAAAAAAAAAAAGGTGAGTAGGGAATAAAAAGTGGATTCAACCACTCTGCTTCGGTGTTGAAGTGTCCCGTGGTAGGTGAATCTCTTGGTAGACGACTTCCTTACTAATCCTTAATTAATTTCTTTTATTTATTAGAAAAAAATTAAAGAAAGAGAGAGGAAAATATTGGTTTTGGTAGGAAAAAACGAGAATGAAAATTTCAATAGCAGGACATCCGAACTGATTAGATAGATTAACATTTTCCATGACAAAAATTGATTTTTGGGAGAAAATAAAAATTAATCATTTCGTTTTAGGATGCACGGATTATTCTTTAGATCATATGGAGATACCGTTTGTTTACAAGGCTTGTCTAGTAAACGAAATGTGATATTTTCTGGACAAGTTTTTAAATGGTGTTGATTGACCTACATTTGCGAAAAAATAATGTATATGGTTATTTATACATATATAGAAGTATAGATCATAATGAATTTGAAAAGCTATTTAATTTGATTGAATGGAAGGCCAATAAATAAATATTGTGTGAAGAAGCTATCTAATTGGCATACAATTTGATTATAAAATAAATATAGTATCTCATATGATATTATATGGAGTTGAACACTTAATATGTGCGTGGGACGGGCCATCTGTATTATCAACGAACCGTAACATCAATTCGTATATGGAACCACAAATGTTTTGCAAATGCATGTTTGCTATTGTGACCAATATCATTAGATATTTAATAATGGAATCGAAAGTTATATGACATGTGGTATTCAGCAACCGCATTTCTTTTTTGTATGATTCAGCAACCGCATTAGTCATATAACAATGAACTTTATGGCCTCGTAGGCTCGTAGTCCTTCTCATTTTCTTGACCACATCGAGAAAAATCCCATCATGAAACTTTTAAAACTACTACAATCCAAGTACAGGACATGATAGGTTTGAATGATCCAACCACAGTGGTTAGAGTTAGACTGTCTTGGAATTTGTCAATTTTAAAAGCGTTTAGACGAGGTGGTTGGGAGATGCAGTTTGAAGCAAAAAAAAAAATTTAGGCGATTGCAAACACGAAAGTGCTCGAACTTGACGCTGGTGTCGTAAGTTGGAAACGCACATTTGAACCATCCCATCTTTATTTTCCCACACTTGTCTTTTTAGTTGGGCCATAGCCCATTTCATAGTTTTCATCAAATTTCTTTTAATTTTTGTCAGTGTTGGCATAAAGAAAAACTTTGTTATAACGCACAACAACAACTTAGAGAATTTTTAAGTACTTTTTAACTTTTTTGCTAACCAAAATAAAACGAATAGACAAGACAACCTACCGCTATGAAAGTATTTTCTAGCTTAATTATTAAAAGATAGGACACGTTTATAGTTTCTATTAGTTAGAAGGGAGTAATAATAGGAAGGGCTTTAGAGGGGTCTCTCTTTGGACTTTAATGGCCCAAAAACAGAATACAAGTCAAGCCATATGGGGCCACTAAAACTGCATGAGAGCTACGTGTACACACAACTGTTTCACAATATACCATTTTCACGGCTCAATTAACTTTTCTATATAAAAATTACTTTATATAGTAATCAAACGTCTTTAAGTTTTTTAAACGGTCCAATTTTCACATTTATTACAAACACCCAAAAAAAAATCTAATAGACGAGGAGAAAAATGGTAAAGCACCAGCAAGCAACGTCCTGGAAAAAACTCATACACTAAATTAATGTCTGCCTGTTTCATCATTTACCAAACTTGTTTTGTTATAGTATTAATTAAAAAGAGTTTTAAGCATTGGAACCAAAATTTAATTTTAATGACATGAAAATGTGTTGTAAGGAAGATATCTTCACATGTAATAATCTCTAGGCCTCTTAATCCTTGTCTTCCCTCATCCACTGCTTCTCTTTTTTTTTTTTTTAATAACCCATTTCATCTCTTTCCCCTTTTATGCTCTTTTCATTCTTCATCTTCTGGGGAAATTTTGAGTTTTTTTCTTTCTTTCTTGGGTATGTCAATTAAAGAGGAAGGGACTGAGATTTTTAAGGGAGGGCAACCACAATATCCTGATGATAATTAAACAACCGGAAAATTCAATAAATGAAACGCCTTTAATTGTTTTTCTTACAAAAAATTCTAAGCAGATTACTTTGGAGGAGACGACGAATCTCTCTCTCTCTCTCTCTCTCTTTTTGATTGGGATTTTTGCAGGTACAGTTTCTTCAATTCTATGTTTACCACACGATGATCGGTCTTGAATCGATTTCATTTTCTGGATCGTTTTTATGTGGAAATGGTTTTTTGTTTTAATGTGTTGATTCATTGCAATAGCTGTGAATCTCGCCCATTTTAGGGTCTCTTTCTTACGATTGGAACCTCTTTAGTGCACATAGCTGTTGTGATGAATCGGAGTGTGTTAATTAATTCATGGTTTTAAAGATACAGAGTCTTGTAAATTATCTAGACTACAATTTTGAGTTAGGACAAATTTGAGTCTGGAGATTTCCTTTGTCCGCTTTATTAGTATCTGTAGCTACATTCTCTCTTTTCTCATCTTCCGACATGATTTTGAGAAAATGTTGTAAGGACTTAGATTTTCTTTTTTTCCGTATGTCAGTGCGTCCCTTAATGAAGTTTGCTGAGTTAAGCACAAGTGTTGGTTTCTTAGTTCTTTTAAAAAGTTGTTTAATTTTGCCAGGACTCAAAGATTCTGTTACTGAGTTGCTTAACTGCTAAAGTCATGATTTTGCAAATGTTTCAGTTGTTTTCTTCCTTGTGGAGTTATCAAGATGAAGTTTTACTGTGCTTGGCAGTTTCTCTTATATGAATTTGATACATGTGAAATATGATGGATGTTTTGAAACTGATTGTTTACTAGCTGAAGTTTCAGATATTCCAACTGGCCTGGAGCTACATTTCTGAGCCTGGAGCTAAATAAGAGGCTGACCCTTTGAAATCATAATGGTAAACCGGGAATATGTTTTTTCATTCATGTTCTTACATCTTTCCAAACTCTCATCAATGGATTGTTTATTCAGTTTTTGTTTCTGCTTCTTTTTGTGTGGCTCTAGGTTTCCTCAAGAACTTAACAAATTTTCATTCGTTTCTGTCCTGGAGAGAGTTGCTGTGTTCTGTTCTGAGGTATAAATAAGTCCAATGCAAGGTCCACAAAGCACTGGTGATTCATCGACTGGAATAAATTATGCAGATGGAGAACCCATCCGTACCACCAATTCAGAGACTACTTCGAATAGCATCCTGAATCCAGTGGATGTTCAGTTTCCACACAATACTACAGGTCCAGGACGACCAACTTACCCAAGCTCTAGCTCGCATGTTGTTCAAAATCATAACTGGTGGAGTTTTGGTGAATCCAGCTCTAGATTGGGGCCTTCTGATCAGGTCAATTCCATTGGTTCAAAGACAGATCGCCAGCTTCCCTCAGACGGCTATGGATTTGAGGAAGATCAATCAGGTATCTTGTTACCTGGAGAGTCCTTTTTGCGTGGGTCAAGCTCTAATCATATGTTAGGGCATGTAAATCTGGGCAAGGACATGGACATTGGTAGTGGTCTGCAGACTTCAGGGGTCGTTATCCGCCATAATAACTGTGAGAGTTCATTGGGAAGCTCAAGTCAAACCGCAGAGGAGAGGAGCAGTGGTCCAGGCTCTTCGTTGGGTGGTCTAGGCTCATCATGCAAAAGAAAGGCTCTTGAAGGAGCTCCTAGCCATTCTTTTCCTGGTGAAAGTCATGGTTGCTTTTTTCAAACTGAGAGTGGTGCTTGGAATGAGGGTCTTGCTCAATATGATGCTTCAAGTAGCTTAAGTTTGTCTATGCCCTCACAAAATTCTCCAAATGTTAATAATCAGTCTGGTCTACCGGAACCAAGATTTGGATTGGGTGGTGGAAGAGCAGTTACAGCAAGTGCTTTTCCTTCTACAAGAAGCACTGAAACCATATCTAGACCTGGCAGGCGGTTAAATCCTGGGCAGCCACCAGAGTCAGTAGCATTCAGCTTCTCACAGTCCGGTAGTTCTGTGCGTCAGCAACAGCAGTTACCAGCAACTTCTCCTTTTGTTGACCCTCTGGATGCAAGAGCAATACCAGTTACAGGTAGCTCGAGCAGTGGTGATGGTCAGCCAAGTATGATCCACCTTCCTGCACTGACAAGAAATATACACCAATTTGCTTGGAGTGCTGCTTCCAGTTCGAGAACAAACAATATGCCTGAAGAGGGATTTGGACCACCATGGGACGCGCCAAGAATCAACTCAGAGCAGCCAGTTTTTACTACACCTGCAACTGAAACGAGAAATCCAGTGCAGGATCAATTTAGTTGGAGTTTCACTCGTGGGAACCCTAGTACATCTGGAGATTCTCCCTTTGTTCCTCGAGCAGGATCGAGTTCAGGGATCCATGGTTTGCAGCCGAATCCCACTTGGGTTACTCCCCATAATCAATCAAGAATATCAGAAGTTGCTCCGTGGTCTTTATTTCCTAGTATCGAATCTGAATCTGCTAATCATGG